ACGGGAGGCCGGCGCCCTGCTTGAGATGGCCGTATGTTTTGAAGGGCAGCCGAGCATAGGTCATCTCGAAATATGTGAAAATCCAGAACGAGCTCTCAAAGCGCCTCTAGCCAATCTATAGCCTTTCCCACATCCGGACATCAATCTAAAATAGCAGCCCCCCCCCCCCGAGTGACACATGTCCCCACTTTTCACATTCCTTCACACACGGCCCCAGAAATGTTGACCCGCGGACGGCCGATGCTTTTAGGTGATCTGTCTGTGCCCTTCGTCAGAGGTACTGTATTTTCTGGAAGCCTGCTTTACATTCCAGATTTATTGATTTTTCCAGACCCATTTCTCTCTCGCTTTCTCTCTCCCTCTCTCCCTCTCTCGCGCTACGAACGCCACCTCAAAACAAGCAAAGTTCAACGCGTTTCCCAGAAAATGTTGTCGATTCATCAGCGCCCCCCTGCAGAACAACAAGGTTTTTCGTAGCTTTCCTAAAATCAATCGAGATTTCTTGTGCTTTTGCAAAAATCTATTTTTTTGACGCTTGGCTCGTAAATCGCTAGCCAATATCAGAAATTTTGCTCATACCCAAACGCCAGCTTAAGCCCAAGCCTACGCCTAAGCCTAGGCCCATACCCAGGCCGAGGGTTGCCATATAAATTAGAAACTCGGAAATCCGATTAAGGCCCGACCATCCGTTCTAGGTCTCCATCACACCTTGGATTGAAAATCTTGTCCTTCTTCCGAAACGCCCTCTGATACGACCCGCTGAGGTGTCTCATTGTCTATGACCCCTGCTGTGGCTTTGCTAACAGTCAGGCCCGTACGGGGGAGGGGGATACGGGCGCACGGTGTAGCCCTTAGGCTTTTTCATCATAAAGTATTCTGCGTACCAATGTGTTTAAGACGGGTAGGGGTCGGAATCTCGAAATTTCGGAATCTCGAAATTTCGGAATCTCGAAATTTCTGAATCTCGAAATTTCGGAATCTCGAAATTGCGGAATCTCGAAATTCCGGAAATATTAGCAGATTCCTGGAAGCAAAACTATTATGTATCCAAATTTTTCAGATACAAATACAAGATTTCCGATAAAACGAAAAGTAGACCCTCTCTAACTCGACGGAGAAGCGTCGGATCGGGATGATAGTCATACCATCCGAAAGCCCTTGAAACGACGAGTTGATAAACACCTTTTTTCAAAGGGTCTACTTTTCGTTTTATCGGAAATCTTGTATTTGTATCTGAAAAATTTGGATACATAATAGTTTTGCTTCCAGGAATCTGCTAATATTTCCGGAATTTCGAGATTCCGAAATTTCGAGATTCAGAAATTTCGAGATTCGGAAATTTCGAGATTCCGAAATTTCGAGATTCCGAAATTTCGAGATTCCGAAATTTCGAGATTCCGAAATTTCGAGATTCCGAAATTTCGAGATTCCGACTATCACCCAATTTTATTTCATGCAGTTGCCATGCAATTTTAAGTTTCTGGAGCTTTTCAAAGATTCATGTCTATTTTTTGTAAGTTACTTTCCGCTTTCCAAAATTTTCTGCCTCCCCCTACGAGTCTGCCAACAGCCGACCCCTTTCCTACAATTTTGAAGCCTGAAACTGGACCGTAATTTGTGACGGCCCGGCGAGGAGCAAGCTTGGCAATATAGATGGGGTCAGCATTGTTGAGTCAGACTCCCCTAGCCCTTTCTGCTCTCCTCTTTGCTTTCTCTCTCTCTCTCTCTCTCTCTCTCTCTCTCTCTCGCTCTCTCTCCAGCTCTTTTTCTCTCGTCCCCAATCTCCGCCTCCCCATCCCGAGAAACATCGCGTAAGCGTAATGGCTCAACAGCCAGAAAATTTCCCTGGCAATTCGACTACCAACGAAAATCCATTATTTTCACCCTAAAAGCCCTTTTCTTCACTTAGCTACGGTAATTTGCACCCTCATTTTCAACTATACATACTTGCAACAAGGTTACCGTTAATATAGTATACACTTAGTATTCTGATCCAATAAAATTTTCCTTTTAGTTCAAACAAAGGTCCTCCCCTACCATAATTATCATCGGCCTGTATTAAGGCTATCTTTGGCAAATTAACGTCGAATAATTTGCGTAAAAATGGCTTCTACGTCCTTTCATTTAGCTTGTTCACAAAAAAGTTTGATATCTTGTTCGATGCTTGGTTTTTCATTAACTCTAAAGCTGCTACTTGTTTTTTACCTCGTTTTTAGGCAATATTTCTAGCCTAAGCCTTTGCTCAAGCCTAAGCTTCGGATCCCGAGCATTAACCTAAGCCAAAGCCCAAGACTAGGCATAAGCTTAAGCCCCAGCCCCATCTGAGCCTAAGCCCCAAAGCCTAATCCTAAGCCATAGAGTAAGTCTACGCCTAAGCCTAAATGTAAGCCCAAGCGGTGAAGCCTGATTGCTTGGTATAAGCTTTTGCTATTTCCAAATTTGTGTCACCAGAAAAAGTGGGGACCAGATCTTGTTGAATATCTCCAGGCCTCCGGTCTCCCGAGATTCTACTATTTGCGCGCGTTGAGATAGCCATAAAACAACGCGATCATTTGACCCTGATGCGGTGCCCTTACCTCCCCCACACTCAATCGTTCGGCCAGCTGCTGCGCGTCGCCGCGGGCCGGTGTACGAGTTGGGCATGTTGCGCAACCGCATTCATTCATCTGCAGACGTACGAAGATGTCGGACAGAGCTCAGCTGCTTGGCATTTCTTTGTCGAAGATTTTTTGCCGCTTCTTGCTTATTTCTATTACTTTAATTCGCTGTCGATATGGCGAAGCTTCCATTTATTGCAAACCATTAGCTTTCTTTCCAAAAATTGCAAAATTTATGAAGCAGACATTTGAATTAACTTCACCAAGTTTTTGCTAAAAAACCAAGAAAAACTTTTGGAAACTTTACGGTCAGCGCATTAATGAACGGTATAAGAACAAGAATACAATCTATTAATATTTTTAAGGGATTGTGACGCCTTAAATTTAATGCAGCTGATCGCTTCTTGGCTATTTTTCCGGGATTTTCTTGACGGCATTCGATAGAGCATGAGGAATATATCAAATATTGAATTATAGCTCAAAACATTCTCATACCAAAAAGTTATAGCAAAAATAAAATAAAAAACGGGTTTAAAAAGCTATTTTTCAATATTTTAGTTAGTTTTTAGTATTTTTAAGGCGGCATGTTTACACTCTATTTCATAGAGGGTCAAAAACAGGGTTATTTAATAAAGGTTATTCAGTTTATTCTCTTAACGGCGTTTTTTTGTGGGTCCTGAAAAATTCGGATTTGGTTTTGTCCCACCCCTCACTTTTCCATATTTTCCCATCGTCAAGAGCGATCGGTCCCCGAAAATTGGATCCAGCGCATTCAACTGGAACGGCAATTAGTGCAATCGGCTCACTCCACTCGCATCACTCCCCTACTCACTCCCCTAATCGAATCACAAAGTGGGCGTGGCCTGCCTAGCTCCGCCCCCTCCCACTCCAACTATACCCGGGTGCTATCCGACACCTCTCGAGTGCCCTTGGGCTGCACTTGAGCTCCAGCCGCCAACAGACATCTAATATCTACGCCCCCCGATCTCATAGACGCCCTTGATGCTCCCCGTTTCCCGCCAATAACCATACCAAGGGGCGGAGCCTAGCTTTGCCTATATAAGGCTGGTGCTCCCAGCTGGCAAGCCACCTCGGGCTCCCTCCTTTTTTAGCTTTCCTCCCAGACTTTCCTCACCAGCACCTCCCTGTTGCCTATCCGCTGCCCGTCTGCGCTTCCATGGTTGTTTTGCATCTGCTCAGCGCGTTAAAGGGATAAGGATGGCTAAGTAGATCAGAGCTCATCTGTAATTGGCAACGAGCCAACCGGAAATGCTAATGCAAAAAATGAGCAGAGAGTGGGGCGATGCAGGAGGGCGCAGCGAAAATCTATGCGAATTTTAGAGCTAAGGCCTGTTTTATGCTAATTTTTCCTGAGCCTTCCTGGTCCCTTTAAGCAGCAATATCTATAACCTCTTATAACCTTTAATAACCCCTGTAAACCACCGCTTAAACCCTTAGATACCCATTTCCTGAAAAATCTGTTTTTCCAAGTTGCCATACCTCATCGCTTGCTCTTGCTACCCACTATCCCTGATGATCCCCGGGAGGACGACCGGCAAGAGGAGCATGAGACGGAGGAGAAGTAAAGATATTTGCATGGTACATCGAATAATAAATCGCAAAGCAATGCGGTGCCGTCTTATCACTTTTACAATGCTGCCGGTCTGCATGAGCATGCCAATCAGGCAGCCTTATCTGTGAACGGCCCAACCAGACAATGTTATCAAATGGTCAGGTCCTTGCCGTCGGAAAAAAAGCCGAAAAATGAGTGGCTGAACAAACCAATTATTTTCTGACGCCTGGTCTTAATGCAACCCCCAAAAACACCATGGCAAAGCCATGAAGTTATGTGTGATGCAGCGAACCATAATTGGCTTGAGAATCATGATAACTGACGTATTCAGGCGGAATTAGAAGTATGTGCTCGTGTGGAACATACGATACATGGAGCTCATGCTCTTCTTGCATCGTCTCATCTTTTGAGGAGAGTAACAAGTCGTACTTACAGTAACTGACCGTATTATGCGTCAGGCCAGATGAAGGAAACCCCCTAGCAATCGGCCATTTTTTAGTGGCAATCGAGTTTCCACACGGCTCTATTGGGCAGAATTTTGCGCTGTTTCCTAAACTGTTCTCGAAATTGGCAAAACGGCTATATTAAAATTTTGGGCAGCTTTGAGTGCTCTGAATTAGCAAAACAAATCTGCACAAGATAGGGCTGGTCCCGGGTGGAAAATAGATTCTCACGAAACACTCGGATGGCAATTTCTCCGTTCTTTGACTGTTTTATTTTGAAATTTTCGGTTTTAAATCCTAATTTTGTTGTGTCTTCCATCATTCTCTAAAGTTTCAACCCGACCGAACCCAAGCCGGAATTTCAGACTATAACCACCCAGCAAACCAATGTACCCACCCGGACAGTATCCGCCCGTCCCGGGATACGCGTACTACCCACCGATGCCCATGCCCAACATACCAATGCCAAATGCCATGATCAACGCATACAACCAACGCTTTCCCCATGGTAAGTCTCGCCTCGAAACACTGAGGATACCTTTTAGCGCCTTACATGTGGTATCCACCCGGACCGCCAAAGTTCATGGCGCCACCTCCACTTCATCAAGTTCCGAGCTCGAGCCAAGCCAGCCGATTTTCCCAGATGTATCAGGCACCGGCAGTGCAGCGCCCCAAAGCGAGTCAGCCAGAGAAGATGGTGGTGGAGCGAAGGTGAGTAATACGAGAAAAAAATCGTTGAGCAGGGTTCCAAATGGTTTTGTGGCTTGGACCACATGTGGTGAGGTCCAACGCACCAAACTTGATTGATTCGCCCTCTGACGCACCATGTAGAACCTATACCCTTCGCAATTTGTTAGTTTGGAAGGAACTAAACGACTGGAGCGTACCCACGCCTGGCGTTGTCCGCACGACCCGACGCACCATGCGGAAGCGAGCAACCTGCCCAATTTCCTCGCGAAATTGTTGGTCAGGAAACGCATGTGGTCATTGCGTAGGCGGCGTAAATAGGCTTAGGCTTAGGCTTACAAGGAGTGCTTTTTTTGAGTCATCGGCAAAACCTTACGAGACCTAGCTCATTCGATAGAGAATTCGATTCTGAACAAAACCCCGTTGTTCTTTTTTGCAGAATGGCTATCCCTGATTTTATAAAATTAAAATACTAGTGACCGTCCCTTACCATGAGTGCCTTTCGAGCCAAAAGAGAGGCTTTTGGGTGCAGTTTTACAATTTCATAAATTCAGGGATAGCCATTCTGCAAAAAAGAACAACGGGGTTTTGTTCAGAATCGAATTCTCTATCGAATGAGCTAGGTCTCGTAAGGTTTTGCCGATGACTCAAAAAAAGCACTCCTTGTTAGGTTCGGCTTGGGTTAGGCTTAGGCCGAGGCTCAATCCTCCCGATTTCAGCCACCCGGTCTGGGAGTACTTCGAGCTCTGGAAAGAGCCGGCAGAGTCCTACAGCGAGACAACAGCTGACTGCAAGTTATGCGGACGGAGGTTCCCCAGAGCCAGCACCGTCACCGCGAAGGGACATCTTAGTGGCAAACACCGACCCGAGTTTCTGAAGGTTGATTTTTGTCTTCCATCATTAACATGAGGCCCTAGGTATGTGAAGCGGCACCGGGGCATCGACATCACTATGGGCCGTTTGGCAGGCCACGGGCAGGTGAGTTTAAGGCTTTCACATTAATGGACGGGTGGCAGCTTCCGAGAAAATAATGAAATATATTTATACTTCAGTGCCTACCACCGTCGAGATGAAGGGCCAGGGAAGTAGGACGGAGAACGCGATGCTACAAAGCACGGTATGCCGAAAAAATACTTTTGTCTACCTCGAAAGCTCGAAAATTCTAAACACTGAGGGGCTTCTTTTCTTTGCGGATTTGAAAGTAAACCCCCCTTTTTTCAGAGCGTCTTCCACCCGGCAATGGACGAATACAAGATCCAGGAGTACGTCAACTCGGCCCCCATCAACGCCCAGCAGTTCGAAGCCAACAACTTGCCAGCCATCAACTCGAAGCCGTTCCAGCATGTCAACCTCCCCGGCGTCAGCATCCGGCCGTTCGAGCCTGCCAACTTTAACATGAGGCCCTGCTTGTTCAACGAGCCGCCTCCCGCTGGCCACAGGGCGTTCGAGCCAACGATCTTGCCAACCGCCGACATCAAGCTGCTCGAGCCTACCAACTATCTGCCCGTCAATATCAAGCCCTTGGACCCAACCAGCCCCCTTCCGAGCGACACCAAGCGTTTCCAGCTGTTCAAGCCAGCCAACCCCGCTCCCATCGACACCAAACATTGCGCGAGGCCCGACTTGCTATGCAACGACAAGAAGCTGCTGGCTCACAACTTGCCACCCATCGATACCAAGTCATTTGGGGAATCCAAGCCGCGCAGCTCGGTGCAAATGAGCCCGATATCAATGGATTCCCCCGCATCGCCTCGCTTCTTCAAAATCGAAGCGAAGCTCGAGGCCGAGGAAACGGAGCAGAAAACCGAAACCAAAATGGAGGACGAGGAGACGGAGAACTTGTTGAAGATGTTCAAAAAGAGGCACGATGGGGTGAGGACCTACCAATTTTTTGTACAGGCACTAGCTTGAAATTTAAATTTTTCCATAAAGATCCGGGGCACGGAGAAGCTAGTAGAATTTTTTGAGAATTCGAGGGATAGGGAAGGACCAAGTAGAGTAGGGCTCATTTATAATTGTCCAATTGCCGACCGGAAACGCTGACGCAGACAAGGGTGAGAGTGAGCCCCGGCGAGAGGGAGCAGGCACGATTTATGCTAATTTTGAAGTTAAAACCGGCTTTATGCTTAATCTGCGCGGGTCTTCCTGATCCCTGTGACCTAAACGCCCCAATATCAAAAGCCTCTCCCGCGCATCATTGCCATTTCTCTCAATTTCCCCTAAAAAGTCGAAAATAAGCTTTTTTAACACAAAATTTTAAGCTCTACGAATGCAACCTATGTACGTTCTGTTCCTCCTACGACCTAAACGCCTTCCGTGCACATCAGGATACAACACATCGAGTTCAACGCTACAAGGTATGATATGGAGAGTGAGGGAGAGAGAGAGAGAGAGAGAGAGAGAGAGCGAGAGAAAGAGCGAGAAAGAACGAGAGAAAGAGAGAGGGGGCGAGAGATAGAGAGCGAGAGAGAGATAGAGAGAGAGACGGACGGTGATAGAAACCAATTGCTGCTTTCGAAACTGATCTTATCATTTCAGCCCAACCCACGCCCACAGAATGAAGGATTGATGCCAGGCTTTGCCTCTAGCTTATAAGGTAGGTTTTTAGACAATGACTTATTCACAAATCTTCAAGTTGGTCCACATTTCATTGAGAGCCTCGCTATCCAATGCTGTAACTAAAAATTTTAAGAACAAAAATGACCTTAACTGTCATTTTACTGATCTTTGGCTATTGATTTATTAAATTTGAGGTTTTAGTAAGCTAGTTTTAATCTATCCGTTTAACATAGAAAGCGCTGACGTTACGATATTCAAATTTCCAGACCGTCGTGCCGTGTTTGCCATCAGCAACCAGCCACCTGCAGGTGCTCCGTTCAACTTTGGGTTCCGCTTCGATTGGCGGCTGCTCTTTAATTATAGGAATCGATTTGTTGTAGTTTAGAATTTAGTGTCTTGGATTTTCTTACTAATCACCATGCAATTCTCCTTTAACAACAAGTGCAAGTCCATCCCACTGGTCTCACTCTTCGTATTTTGGATTCCCGTATTCTGCTGGGTATTTTTGAGATTTTGCCTTTGGTGCCTTATTATACAAGAACTCAATTTTTCCAATTCGAAAAATTATGGGCACAAAATTCCAAGCCGACCATTGTCTTTTTTACTCCCCGTTATTATTTTTTATTATCATTTATATGCCTTATTATACCTGACATCTTTGCCCGTTAATTGCCTTGATCTCCCCCGATATCCGGAAATCTCATTTATGCAAATTTCTAATATCTTATTCCCCTGCTACCGTTGCTCCAAATTGACCTCTTCAACAACCCCCCGATGATCCGCCCTAATAATTCACAAAAATGCAATCGTATGTCTTTATAAAGGATGTAACTAATTGGATACTTAGCCAAAATACAACAATTTGCATTTAAAAATGTGCACGAAGTACCCCGACAACTGTCGCTTTGTTTGGCAGAGCTTACTTTGTTTATTCCCTCCTCAAGTTCCATAGCTGGTGCTCCTTTCCCAAAGGTCACATTCCGGATTAGCATTCCTCCCGGTCCCTCTTTACACCGACGGCCGTACGCGGACTTTCGAAACTGGGGCCCCCGGCCCCCTTTCGTCCCGGTAGGGCTCCCAGGGGCCCTCGATAATCATGGAGAAAGCACGAGAGAGAGAGAGAGAGAGAGAGAGAGAGAGAGAGAAAGAGAGAGAGAGCGAGAGAGAGAGAGGAGAGAGAGAGAGTGAGCGAACGAGATAGAGAGACAGAGAGCTAGAGAGAAAGCTAGAGGGCGAGAGAGAGATAGAGATAGAGAGAGAGGGCGAGAGAGAGAGAGGGAGAGAGAGAGAGAGAGAGAGAGAGGGAAAGCCAGAGCACTGTTTTGCTCTTATGAGCGATTAAATTGATTTTTTTAGCAATTCAACTGCCTAGAACCACTCAGGATCACTGTGAAGAGCTTGCACAGCACATTTTTTGATTTTTAACTGTTTCAATCCTAAATTTAAACATTTTTATTAGAAGGAATAGCGGAAATACCGCTGAAAATACGGTATTTAGTAATGGATTGCATACATTTTGGGTAATTTACTGCATAGCAATTTTAGCAGTTTCTTTCGCCGTAGTTTCTTCCCATCGCAGCCGGCAGGGGGGTCCTGGAAAGAGTGGCTGGAGGAAAATGGGGGCCCCGGGGCCTTGGCAGAGGGAACAAGGAGCCCCGCAGAGGACCCAGGACCCTAGTAGAGAGGGGCCACGCGGAAGAGGGCAGAGGGGGCACACAATTCTGTACATCCTTAGCCTTTAGCGCCTACAACCGCTCCAAAAGCCCTTCGGTAGCCATTTCCTGAAAAAAAGAGAAAAGAATTCTCCGCGCTCCGAGCCACCGTAGCCCAAAGCGGGAAAAGGCAACGCTGCGAGTTCAACCACCTAGGGAAGAGAGGGAAAGGCCCCAACCGCCGACTAATGCACCCACGCGCTATTTTGGTAGGGGAGCAAGAGCGGAGAAGAGAGGAAGAGAGCTGTATATTGAAAGAGCGAGGACGGGGGACGGCCAGAAAACATTCCCCCCCCACACTCCAGCCAAATTCACTCAAAATCATCGGATCGCAACGATAGATATATCTTTCGAAAGTTCTCGACATGGAAAATTTACATCCGTCTTCAAAACCAGGGTTGATTTGATCGCGAAATTTTAGAGCCCATTTTAATTTGTCTTGGGCTTCTTTCTCTATTTTTATTTTTCATTTTCCCCTTGCTTCAATGCCGATTATTCTTGCTATTTCCAATGCGGTGTACGGTACTCGCATACCCAGTACTCCCAAACTTTTTCGCCTTCCGGTTTTCGTGCACTCGGTCCGTTGGATCCAATTCCGAGCGGTTAACTCGTTTTCGAATTTCGAAATCCATTCTCACACATTCTTCCTCTATTCGCTTTCTTTCTCTATCTCTCTCTCGCTCCCTCTTCCTTTGTACTACTTTTGGGGGTCGATTGTTTCCATGACCGCGCCTAATTTGGGTGAAGTCCGAAGCGGAATTAGCATCAATTAGCCGCCCTCTTACTTTCACTTCTCTCTATCTCTCTCTATCTCTCTCTATCTCTCTCTCTCTCTCTCTCGCTCATTTAACCCTCGTCTTCTCTTTCTTTCTTTCAATTTCCCGACGCCAGGCACTAAACTCCCAAGCCGAAACTGCATAGCTTAATTTTTGAATACAATTGCTGTACTCAATCGAGCAATCCACGGTCAAGTCTGCCAGACAACCTGGGGATCCTCAACCCTCCCTCTGCCGAGAAACAGAGCATGAGCCTCTTTTCCGGCCGAGCGCAAATATGTCTCATAAGCGAAAGGGTGACTGTGGGGACTGTGGGGGGCTTTTGGACGTTGCCTGGAGGCCGGCCAGCTCGAAACAAATTTCTAGGGGGACGTTTACAAATACACTTTGTAGATTATGTAGATTAATAGATTGCTTGCCAACGGAGCTCCACGCGCATGATCAATTAAATTAAAATTATGAATTTGGGAACCAAAGGATTAGGTCTCTTTTCGGAGAAGTAAATGGAGATAACTGCTGCCGGAAAGAGGACAGAGAAACGTCCCAGTCGTTCGAGATAATCCGGAAATTAGAAAAACGTGCGGTAGACGTGAGTGCGGTATAGTACGCAAGGCGTAGAGACACCCGAGAAATAGCGAATCTCGAAAAGAAGCTTAAATAGAGAAACCATGCCATTTCCCGAGATACTGCGTAAAAAGAGAGACAGGAAAGAACAGGGTATCTCGAAAAGAAGAGAGGGCAGCGAGAAAACCAAAAATTTAAGCGTGAACGCCAGGGGAGGGAGGATTTAGAATAGCGATGGCATCCCCCGAGATAGTACAGACCCAGACAAGTGGAAAAATTCCCTGGCCACCGCGCGGCGCTGAGAGGAAATAGACAACCCATACAAGATTCCGGGGGATACGGTAACCCCCGCGAGTGGCTATATAAACCCAACCGAAGCTCTGTAAATTCACTACCAGCGAGGGCTTACCCTTATCAGGCTTTTTCTAACTGTCTCCAATTAAACATTTCTACCTCGGCCCACTCTCTCCCTCTCTCTCTCTCTCTCTCTCTCTCTCTCTCTCTCTCTCTCTCGTGCTCTCGTGCTCTCTCACTTTCTTTTGCGCTCTCTATTTCTCTCTCTCGCTCTCGTTTTGCCTTGTTTATTTCCTTAATGGATTTGTTGTTCCCCCGTTTTTTGTTTTCCACAAATTCCCAGTTTTCGAAACGCTGAAACCAAACATGTCAATGTAATTTTTGGAGTCGCGATCCCGATCAATCCTCGGTGAACTTTCCAAAAACAACCTGCGACCCTCAACCCTCACCCCCCCGCCGAGAACAGAGAATGAGCCTCCTTTCCGGCTCAGCAAATATTCCTCGTCAGCGAAAAGAGGGTCGGCTGCTCTTTGGGGGGAGAGGGAGGGTGGCTTTTTTTTGACGTTCCCTCACCAGGCTCTAAACCCTTTTTTCTCCCAACTTTTGGGCCCTTTTTGGTTTGGATTTTCGTATAGGATTGCGGTAGGTTAGACAGCACAACATAATCCGGGGAACCTCATTTCCGCACTAATCCGGGGAATGTAGGGAATATCTATAAGCCCTTATCGTCATTTCTTTTTTTTAGGATAGTAGTGTAAAAGGATTTGGTCGGGTAGGGAAGTGTGAGGGAGAGGGAGAGAGAGAGACGGCTAGAGAGAGCGAGAGAAAGAGAGAAGAAAGTCCATTTCCGGCTTAAATTTAGCAACTTTACATCGATTGCCTCGAGGGTGGTTTGGTGTAAGCTATAATAGATTACGATCCCTTCCCTGTCCGTGAGGAGGTACGCGCAAAATTAATGGGAACAGCCACGCACTGCGGGCAAAAGATTGTAACCTCCACTGCATTACACTGCACACTTTATGATGGGAACCCCCCCCGTATTTTCCGTTACACTCGCTATCAGATGTCATTAGGATGTTCGGCGGGGTTTTTTTTTCAAATTTCCTAGACCAATTTCTTTTGAAAACAGGAAAATTTCAAATTTCCCAAGTTTTTATCGATTTTTAATTTTAACAATAAAGTAAAGCGGGCTAAGATGACGGGGGCTTTTTATGTAAGGAGACAATAAAAAGATGCTGTCATTAAAGTTTATTGAAGTAACTAGGCATTTATAGACGATAGAAAAGCATTTTTATATAACTTTCGAAAATTTCTGTTATTTTTCTAGCCGTAAGTACAACTATTTGAGCTTTAAGAATAATCCTACGAATCTTTTCTTTCCTAGTAACGCTTACCGAGAACGAAAATATTTTTTTTTCACAATTTTCGCTTAATCGCTTGCTGCTAATACATGCCGATGTGTCGCAACGGTCCCTAGTTGGAATTCATTTTTCGAAAAATATCTTTATGAGCAGGCCTTGACTACGCTTATTTATTCCCTTTTCCCTAGTCCATCCCAACTCGGTCGCCTGGGGATTCTGGGGGCTTGCACGAATACATAATTATGGCATGGTCGTCCTCTCCCTACGCTGCAAGGTCCCTATCGAGCCCCCTAGCAAGGCCAGCTGTCGCTCCCCGGGGAGCTTCGCGGCCCCCCACGCACATTACACTTGAACCCCCGGCAGACCCCAGACATGCAGACGTGCCAGGAGGCTAGGTTCCATCCTTCTCAGCGTCTCCCTACTCCCCTGATGTCTATTCGGGCAACCAATCATCGAAAACTGGGCGTGTCCTCCACGGCGGCTGCCTATATAAACCCGGTGCTGCCACCCGCGGCGTGTCGCCAGCCGCCCTTCTCTTTCCTATTTCTCGCCCCCCTTCCCCTTTCGCCCCTTTCGCCCCTTTGCCCGCAGCGCCCAGCCCGCACCCCGTTCCTCGCGTCCCCAATTGCCCGCTGCTCCCCCCGCGCGACTTTCGAAACTCTAACCCAGACACCCGTGTTGCGTTTTGGATAGCTATGCCGCTTCTATGTTTTAAAGGGGCCAAGAAGTCAAGTTTTTAGAATTCGAGAATCGGACCTATTCGTGAAAAACTAAATGGATACCGCCTAAAAGTCTAGATGAATCAATAAGTTGTAAAAAAGCCTACTATTTGCTAAAAAACTAAAAATTTGGTTTGCAGAATCGACCTTTTGAGCTTTTTGGCGTTGAATTATGGGCTCTCAGGCGCTCTATCCTTTGATCTTTCGGATTCCTGGGCCAATTTGGAAAATTTAACAAACTAAGAATTTTGCGTATCACGTATTTGAAGCGTATTCGAGTATCGACGCGGTCGCGTTAGGTTCGTAATTAACTTTTTGCCAGGAAGCAATGCCTGGGCAGTGCGCTAGACTTATTAGCCCCTTTAACTAAAGCCAAACCCCTACATGTCTTCGTTAACCCACTAACCCCTGTTACCGCTAAAATCTTTCCCTCCCCCACCCTATCGTCTCCGTTTCTCCTGTCCTCTTATATGTCATCCAATCCAGAAACTGAGGCCCAAACCTTGTCTTCCACTGACCCCCCGACTAACCATTGCCCCCCATAAACCCGATAACCTCCCGCTAACCCCCCAAATAAAAGCTTTGAACACCGTACAGACTATATTCCGATTCACTACCGGCCATGAGGAGCCACTACGAAAAGTATATGGTTCGGGGACAAACGTTGTTTTCTGTAAAGTTGCACAGCCAAAGCAGAAAATCCTAATATGAAAAGCATCAAATTCACTGAATACATACGCAATCTTATCAGGAAACGGGATTTTGCCACGGATTTGGCTAAACTTTGTCCTGATACTTATACAGAATCTCATCCAGGGCTACGAATTGAGGCCCACCTTTATCCCAAATTGAGATAAGGTTGAGGGTATCTTTTATACACCGTACGAGGACCTGGCTATTTGAAAAAGCTGCCGACGTCTTGAACGGACGTAGCTTGACGTAGTCCGGATGATTTTCGAGGTTAGAGAACGTGTTAGCAAAGAAAATGCTCCGCGACCAAACCAGGCCAAAGCACGGATCGTTGCCACTTCGCTCTTTACGTTCCTTCGTGTCTACGCCGTACGCGAGAATCCTCTTAACGAGGCTCCGTCGAATCTACTTATTACTTCGTATATCTTCATGCCTTCCATAAGCCTACGTAACTCCAGAACCAAACGACTCATACGCCCGAATTTCCAGAGAATGATGAATCCAGAAAATCAAGGGCAATGCCTCATTAGCACACCACCCCTACAGCAATTGTCCACAATGCTCAACATCTACAACACGCAGTACCCCTTTGGTGGGTTTTTTGGCGCGGTTTCGCAACGAATAAATATTCAGACCCAAACATGCACGTTCCCAACGTCCTGGGAGCACCGACACAGTTCCCGAGCCAACGACTGGTTCAACAGCGCCTTCCGGCGGTGTCAGAACAGAAGCCAGTTTTGGGCCAACAAACAAGGAGCCCGAACCGAAAAAAGATCCGCCGATGGTGAGTGGATTCAATGACATTTTTTGCGTTTTTTGGAACTGAAATTGGGCCGACGCACCATACCTAATTCTGGGGTCCCGTTGGTCGGACGTACCATGCCCGAATAGTTTGGGGGAAATTGACCAGACGCGTCAAGCCCTAAGATTGGACTGACGCACCATAACCTAATAACTTGCTTTACCTGGCGCTCTCTGGATGCTCTACTTCACCAGTTAGTCTAGGTCTTGGTAATGGCTTCGGTAGGCAAGCGAGAATGCACGTAAAGTAGAATAATAAATTTGAAAGTTGCATTATCTGACCTTGCCAAAGGCAGTGGGCGAGATACAGAGAGGGCGTGAGAAAGGAAGGGAGAGGGAAAAACACAGAGAGAGTGTGAGAGAGAGAGAGCGAGAGAGAGAAAGAGAGTGGTGAGAGGGAGAAGTCGTGCCGTATCGACTAAGAGAAATCTCAAAGAAACTGCCACCACCTGTCCATGTACCTGGACTCCAAGACGCACCATGCATCATGTCATAACTTTGGGGCTTCTGCGTATTGGTAAAAAGGGCAGCAAAGGGTAGCGAACAAGTCTGAGTTGGGGCACCTACGAAACGTACCTAGCATAAAAAATATGTAGGATAACCTAGAAAAGGAAGAGAACATATGAGGGATTGTGGGCAACCACGAGGATTTGCAGAAATCATAAAAAGCATAATAATAAGCTGGAAAGCTTATTAATCTGGTAAATCTGGTAGAATCTCCTCGTTTCAGTCACCCGGTCTGGGAATACTTCCGGCTGTGGCAGCAGGAAGGGAAGGCGAGACAATCGGCGACTGCGCACTGCAAATTATGCAGAAGGTTCGAGATCCCCGGCGCGACGTCACAGGCCGCCACCCGCCATTTGAAGGGCATGCATCGGGAGGAGTACTATAAGGTTAGGAAAATCCGGAATGATAATTCATTAATGTCTCTTTAGCTATGTGAGAGGACAGAGGGAAAGAGTTATGGGCCTTGGGGGGAACGTGCGGCAGATAATGTCACGACAACCCTGATGCCCATTGAACAGGCTATTTCATTGACGGCAAATCAGGTGAGTGAGACAGAGAGAGAGAGAGAGCGAGAGAGAGAGAGAAAGAGAGAGAGAGAGAGAGAGAGAGAGAGAACAAGACAAAGGGATATCGAAACTCGTGTTTTCAGCTCTTTGCCGTACCGATCAATAACAACATGATCACCAACACCGAGCATCAGCCACTGCGGGCCAAGTTCTCGGGCCTTACCATCGAGTTCCCAGATGAGAAGCCGCAAGAGGAGAAGCCGCGCAGCTCGATCCAGCTCAGCCCAATCTCCATGGAATCCCCTTGGTCCCCACCTCTCCTCAAGATGGAAGAGCCGCAGCCGGAAGAAGAACAGCGGGCGAACGCGCCGATGGTAGAAGAACATGAGATATCGACCTTGTTGAAGATGTTCACATGGCGGCATGATGGGGTAGGATATCTCATCATCATCATCATCATCATCATCAGCATATCAGCTTACTAAGCCTAAGCCAAAGCCTAAGCCTATGACTAAGGCGAGGTCTAAGCCCAAGCCTAAACTTAAGCTGAAGCTCTGCAAAAGCCTAAGCTTTATTTTTTTCAGCTATACGAGTGCATCCTGTGCACATTCTGCGCTTCCTTCGATCTGAATGCGCTCCGTGCCCATCAGGATTCCACCCATCGAGTTCAACGCTACAAGGTACACCGTTTTACGGAAATTTTAAGACTTTTTTGAATTCTATCATTTTATTTCTAGCCGGACCCCAAATCGCCCCATGGATGCTGGATGCCGGGCTTCGAGGCGAGCCTACATGGTAGGTTGGAAAAAATCGTCCAATTTCTATAAAAATCTTTGCAATTAAGATATACAAGTTAAACGTGTCTTTCTATAATTTAGGCTGAATTAAGCTAGTTGCTTTTGATTTCGAACAAATACGGAAAAATATCGAGAATCTAGTTAAAATTCAAAATTCAAATTTTCAGATCCCCGCGCAGCGCCCACCAACAAAAATCAGCCCTCATCTTCTTCTTCTTCCTCTCTAAACTCTCAAAGCTCTAGTAATTACCCTAATTGACCAAAACTTGGTCTAGGTATCGGTTCACGAAAATCTATAAATTTTCATTTAAAAAAAAATTAATTTTTTTTGTTGATTTATTACCGGTGTATCTGTATTTGTGTCTTCTCCACCCTCTGCAAATGCAAACCACGTGCAGGACACGAAAGAGCACGGTTGTGCATGCGCGGACATGCAGAACCGTGGGCCCCGGCGTCCTGCACGCGGACCCCCGATATCCTGCACGTGGACCCCGTAAACAAGTCAACTTCGTACTCAACCGAAAATCGAACATTTCAAACACTGTTCACAATTTTTTGCATTCTTTTTGAAAGTGGTCCACGTGGGCCTTCGCGCCCTGCACGTGGTTTGCATTTGCAGAGCCAATAGGTGAAAAACTCAACCTTTGTTTGTTGTTATTATTTTCCCTATACCAATATTGTGCAATATTCTATGCATATTTTGCAATATTTTTATGGCAGTCCTACAGTTTTTTCTGAGTTCATTCGATTTTCAGGCATAATTTCATATTTCCAAAATATCAAAAAACTTACAAAATTCGAAAAACACTACAAAATGCTAAATCACTAAAAATGACTAGCATTTTTTAGTTTTACTATTTTGTCGTTTTTCAGTGGTTTTCCTTTTTTACTTATCGTAAACTGCGAAACCCCAATCAAAACCCTAAAAACTAAAAACGTGAAAATTCAAAAAATTGAATGTTTGTAACCGTTCTTAACCGTTAGCTCTCCACTTTTATCGCCTAAAAATTGACACTTTATTTCCAAAGGTCTCACCCACTCCATTCCAACTATCTCATCGATGCAGACTTCTAACCTCACCCGATGCCTCAATAATGAACACTTATTTCTATGTTTACAAGATAAAATATATAATTTCTGGCGTTGAAACAGAGCAGGAAAGCCGCAAATAAATTACGGATCGCGATCAATCCGTTTCAGACAAATTCGGATTTTGCCGGTGTATCGGTGGAAAATACGCGGAAATCAAAAAATTAGAAAGCCTTAAGACACTCTATAACGCAATCTACGTGTGGGCTAATGTGGAGTAATTATACAGTAATACGGTTCGAATTGGAGGAGTTTTGATGACTCGCCGACTCATTTATTCAGGAGCCGGTTTTGGGGTTCGTCACGAAATTTGGGTCGTCGAAAATCGATAGGGAGAGAGAGAGAGAGTGTGGCGCCCTAATGGCTGAAATGTGTCGGCGTTCTGGATTGGGCGTCACGGGTATATTTATTTAACAGTTGCAAGAGATAATTCAAAGAATAATATAAATTGATGTTATAGTAAATGGGGAGTTTTCGGAAATCGAACGAGAGCGAGACTTTCGGAAATATGAAGACTTTCGGAATGTACGATAGTTTTTCGGAATTCCCTTTCAAATTCGGAATGATTTTTAATTCCGAAAATAAGAGCTTTGAATTTCGAAAAGAATATTAATTTCGGAAAGAAGGAGCCTTTGATTTCGGAATTGTTCGTATTCGCTTCTCTCTCTTACGCCCGTAAGCTTTACTGTAACGCGTGGTACAGTGAAGCTCTTTTCAGGCGGTTGAGGGAGTTTTTAGCGAAGTGAAGAAGGGCCGCCTCGGTGCTCTTTTATAGCTGCCTGTTTTAGGGCGGAGCTTGATAGTTTCGGAATTGCCCTGTCAAGTCGAATTCCGGAATTCCACAGGGAATTTCGGATATCATTTCGGAATTGTCGGGGCCTACCGTTGGGTCGCGTTGGCCCTTTGTTTATATTATCAATCCCTTGTGGTCGAAAGGTTTCGCCACAGGTGACTACGTCACAGTCTTGCTTTACCCTGAGTAGGGTCGGTTTTGACACTCCCCCCGCGGAAAAAGGAAGCAAACTTTTCGATCACAACATAGTATTAGATTTGCAAAGCAATTCATGCAAAAAGAGGCTTGAATGGGTTTTTCCTGGTTGTTGTAAGCGGGAATTTGGTGGTAGAGAGGTGGATGGGGTGGAGGAATAGGACGCATCATGGTATTGAAAGCGCTGAGGAGGTGGTTAGGGGATCTTCTAGAATTGAAATTGTTTAGCTCGCTTTAATAGCCTGGTGGATTGCGTATCGACGCCAAAAATGCACATGGTCCAATTCCCGAATTCTTTCGTAGGGAACCTCAAAGCTGACTCTTTGGCCTTTGCTTTAAAAAGTGAGTACGCTCTATATTTTCGGCGTAAATAATCTCTGGTCCGTAGAGGCGTATGGCAGAGGACCCTCCATTGAGTCGAAATCTGGATATTCGACCTGTTGTTTAGATCAAGGTCGTTGGTATCAATTTCCACGGTCGCGCGGGCCCCACTGGGGGCCGCTAGAGCCATTTGAATACTGCTACGCGATGTCCAATTTTTGCAGCTAGTGATGTCTAGCACATCTTCTAAGCGAGCTATGTTTTCGCATCGATTAGATCTGGCAACTTTGTTAGAGAGTTGGCGTATTTTCCTATTCGCTTCGCCCATCTATGTGCCAGTACCGCCCATATTATGGCTAAATTTTCGGCCCGGCCTTTGCCGAAAACTAGGATCTGCTTGGCTGTAAGCTGCTTGATACCGTAGTCGCGCCGCGCTAGGTGGGAGCCTGGTTGTGAGGGCTAGGAGAACTGGTCCTAGGCTGCGGATGCTTAGCGTAGCGCTAATTTGCGTAGCGTCCGCGGAGGCGGGGGCCAATCCTAAGGCCAAAATACATCACGCTAGAAAAATCGGTGCGGACCCCATCCTGAAGTTAATTTTTCTTCTAGGTGGATCCGGGTAAGGTGGCGTTCTGTCTTTCGCCACAGGTGACTACATCACAGTCTTGTTTTACCCTGAATTGGGTCGGTTTTGACAGAGAGAGAGAGCGAATGAGACAGATAGAGCGAGATAGAGAAAGCGAGAGAGACAGAGAGAGGGAAAGAGCGAAAGGGAAAGAGAGAGAGAGAGGGAGAGAGAGAGAGAGAGAGAGAGAGAGAGAGAGAGAGAGGGAGGGAGAGAGATAGAGCAAGAGGGGGATAGAGAGAGAGTGAGAGAGAGAGTGAGAGAGCGAGAGAGAAAGGGATAGATAGACTGAGAGACATAGCGAGCTACGCAGAAATTTCGCTGAGTTAGATCTTGCGAAATTTCATATTGCCGTTTGGCTTTGTGTCGTCCATTTTTTCGTTTGCTTGTGCTAATTAGGGCAGCATTAGCAGAATGCGCAGAATTTCCATAACAAAATTCAAGCATCAAATTTCTTTTGGAGATTGACTGAATAAATCTTTACCTTAACGAACTGAATTAGCAAACGAAAAAGAGGCACTGGATCGAAATGGCGAAATCTGTACTTTTTCTTTTCTATTGAATCAAAAATCCCTGCTCTCGCATAATAGCTGATAAAGCATGCAAAAAAACAGTACGAAAAATCTATTTACAAAAAAGGAGCGCAGCCTATAAGCGCATAATCCCGACCGGTTACCCATAAACCACTGGCACCTGCCATCTTTCGCGTAGCACCAGCTGGCCGCAGTTTCCTACACGCCCCATAAAAATCTCCGCAGCCATGTGATCTGGGCCGCTCAATTACGATCCCATAGGTCGCTTTGTCTTTCTCTCGTCTCTCTCTATCTCACTCTCTATCTCTCATTCTCTATCTATCTATCTCTCTCTTTATCTCTCTCGCTAACTCGCGCTCTCTCTCTCTCGCTCCCCCTTTACCTTGCTCAGTTTGGGTCACTTGCATTTGCATATCAGTAGTTCCTTTGTCAGGGGCAGTGTATTTGACTTTTGCCTGTGCGTGTCTTTGTTCTCTCAACAACCACTGCCGGCTACCCCCCCCCACCCGAAATTTGTATACCCCGGGCACCATTATTACAACTCGCACTGTCTGCGTCTACCCTACCTCAAGCACTCTCTCGCCGGGTCATATGACCAAAGGGGTGTGGCCTACCAGCTCTGTCCGCGCACCGGAACGACTGTCGCCAGCCCGCTGCGCGGCGAAACCGCCCGCTCCCCCCGGCTTCGAAATGGCGCCAGCCAGCGCCGAAGACAAGAGGCCGCCAGATACCTAGTCGTCAGCTGTTCGCAAGCCGGATTATGGCTTTTTAGAGCTCCTACGTGTCCACCTAATCAGTGCGCGGAGGCGGGCCATGGGTACACATAGGATAACGGGGGGGAATAACGGGGGGGCACTCAAACTTTTTATATGATAAAAGTATTTTTAAATATGCTTTTTTCGGGCTGTACAAAAAAACTCTTAGTATATTTTTCGGTCCTCTATCGAATGGCATTTTCAAAATATCGAAAATATTCAAAACGCCGAAAATTCCCCCCCTGTTATCCTATTTGCTACCCATAGTTTTCAAAAATAGTTTTTGGGCTATAAAACTTTTATAATACATTTTTTCGCGTTGTAAAAAAATCTCTTAGTATATTTTTTGATGTTCTATCGATTCGCGTTTTCAAAATATCGAAAATCTCAAAAATTTGGCTTCCCCCCCCCCGTTATCCTATGTGCTGCCCATGGATTTTGATCAATTTTTGTTTATTCGATAAAAATTTTCATTTACATTATTTCGGGCTGAAATTAATTTTCCTAGGGCAGTTTTCGACGCTTTATCGAATGACGTTTTCAAAATACCGAAAATTTTGAAAATTTCGAAAATTTGACTTCCCCCCCCCCGTTATCCTATGTGCTGCCCATGATTTTCCTCAATTTTTGTTTATTCAATAAAAAATTTCCATTACATTATTTTGGGCTCAAATTAATTCTCTTAGTATATTTTTCGACGCTCTATCGAATGGCACTTGCAAAATCCCTCAGTAATTGCAAATTTCATAATAATGAGTGCCCCCCGTTATTTTATTCCCCCCCCCGTTACCCTATGTGTACCGGCTACCTATATAAACCTGCCAACCATCCTGGTATTCAAATTTTTCGAGTGGACCAAGCCAACGCTTTCTAGCTACCTGACTTTTTTGGCCCTAGGCTCTCATTAGCTTGAATAGTCTAATAATATTCTCTTTTACCCGCTCTCATCTCTCTCTCGCTCTCTCTCCCTCTCTGTCTCGATCTTTCTCCCATCACCTTGCAGATTGGCGAAATTGACGTTATTTTAGCACCCGATGTACCCCGCATCCAGTGATTTCCCAGGCCTTCCGGGCTACCCATACTATACGCCCTTTCAAAGCTATCCGATGCTCAACAGCATGACAAACATGTTCAATGCGCAAAATGGTGGACCGCAACCCCTTATGATAATCAATATCTTTTCAGCCCAATACGCACGGGCTGTCAACGTGTTGGGCACCATTCAGCCGGTTGCGTCCGGAAGTCGCAAGGGAACCGCGACGGAAAAGCGGAAGGTGGCCTCCGCGGTCAGCTCGGAAAAGAGGGTGAAGGTGGAACGCCGGTGAGTATGGTTTTAGCTAGAAAGAGATTGAGAGAGGGAAAGAGAGAGAGAGTGAGAGAGACATGTAAACGGTGGGAGATTGAGAGCGAGAGCGAGAGAGAGGGGGAGGGAGAGGGAGATTGAGTGACTGAGAGAGTGGGAGAGGGCCAGTGAGAGAGGGAGAGAAGGAGAGAGAGAGAGAGCGAGCGAGATAGGGTGAAAGAGCGAGAGAGCCAGACAAAGAGGGGGAGCGAGATAGAGAGAGAGAGACAGAGAGAGAGAGAGAGAGAGAGAGAGAGAGAGAGAGGAGATATATTGAACAACCGTACTCCAGCCATCCCGTCTGGGAGTACTTCGAGTTGTGGAAACGCGAAGGCCTATCCAACAGTACGTCAACAGCCGTATGCAAATCATGCGGAGTGCTGATCCCGCGGGCCAACACGCAATCCGCCAGGTCGCACCTAAAAGCCGATCACCTATCGGCTTACAGGGAGGTCGGTCGTTCTCTCAGGCATTCATTAATGTGCCTTCAGGTCTGCGAGCAGGAGCGACAACCCGAGCTCGCTTGGTTAACAGCATGGGCCGGTGGGTGTTGATTTGGAGCATTGATTAAGCATATACATTGGAAATTGGCAATTATTCTGCCATTTCAGCACTACAAGTCCCACCTAGCCGTTATTCTACTTCCTTGCAAACTAGCGAGAATGTGCCTCCACGGCCTACGGTAGGTTGAAAATTAATTAAGAGAGCATCTTATTGAGCAAGGGATCGGAAATGTCTTTTTTCAGAACGAATTTGCTCACGAGATGAACATTCACAAGGCTTTCGAGATGGCCAATTTGCCACCGATAAAGACCCCACCGACCGTGTTGCCGGCGAGATCGACCCCCGTGCTGTCGTCGGCCCTTTCGGAGTTGAGCGCCCAGAAAAAACCCGAAATGGTGGCCGTCACCGTGAAAACTGAACCCGGGTGCGAAGACCGTGAAACTGAAAACCTGCTGAAGATGTTCACGAAGCATCATCATGGGGTGAGGCTATTCTCAGTGTTAGAGTTTATATAATTAATATTTTATATCTAATTATGTTTAATACATGCTACAAATACACTTTTTAGTTCTACGAATGCAATAGATGCACATTTTGCGCCTCGTACGACTTGAACGCTTTGCGCGCGCATCAGGAGACGACGCACCGGGCACAAAACGCCAAGGTATGCTTATAGGCATTTAGAGAAAGAGCGAGAGAGACAGGGAGAGAGAAAGAGACAGGGAGAAAGCAAGAGAGAGAGAGAGAGAGAGAGAGAGAGAGAGAGAGAGAGACAGAGAGAGATAGAGAAATGGAGAGAGGGATCGGCAAAAGCAGACACTTTTTCGGCCAAAACCACCGCCCGAGAAAGTGGACGATAGGCACGACCGCACAAACTTATACGGTAGGTTTCCGTTTTTCTGAATAAACAGACCGTTTTAAAACCCAGCTCAGTGAAAACATTTATTCCCACATTTTTTAGAGCACAACGTTCCGCGAAACCAGTTGCGAAATCTGCATTTCAATTTCCGACATTAATGATTTCCGCGCTATGACTAGCATACCTCACCTAATGGCATTTTTCAATAGCTTAGAGTTTTGTCGTTTCCTGGACTACTGTGCCGCTCTGCCTTAAATGTCATTCCTGTAACTTGCGTGTTATACTTGTCCCTTTTACGTCCTGTCATTTCCAAAGGACAATGCATGTATTATTTTGCAGTCTTCCTTATTTTTTATAATGTTGCTTTCATGCCTCATTAGAGCGGTCAACTTTACATTTCCATGATTAATTAATGTAAAGTAAATCCGACGCAAATCTGTAAGAACGAAAAGGGTTCCAATAAAACGGCGTAAAAGTGCGACATCTTCAATCATATGATTATACCATGCTATTCTCTCTGTATTTTTATACTTTATTTTGCGGTTGGTGTTGGATTTAAAGGATTTCCTCACCTCTACTTTCCAGGATCTGGAATAAAGTCTAATGCTGTAAAAAGGATAAAGCGCTGAACACCCAACATACGTTTCAGGAATATTGGAAACGGAGAAAAAAAGAGCCAGAGAGCGAGAGAGAGAGAGTGAGAGAGAGAGAGAGAGAGAGAGAGAGAGAAAGAGGGAGAGAGCGAGAGGGAGAGAGCGAGAGGGAGAGAGAGAGAGAGAAGAGAGAGAAGGGAGAGAGGGGCTGGGGAGAAAGGGAAAGAGAGAGAGAGAGAGAGAGAGAGAGAGAGTGAGAGAGAGGTGTACAAAGTTGAAAGAACCCGTTAATTCCTCCAAAATCTGGATTCTGAGCATTTCTTATTCCTTCTCCCACTTTTAACTTTCATTTTATCCCAGATCACGTAAATGTAAGTAGAACTTAGGGACGGAAAAGTTATATTAGGTGGATTTTTCACCGTTCCTTTCACGAAATTTTAGTTTTTTGAATCACTCAAATCGAAACTGCAATTATTTAAAAATTATAGGATTTTTTTTGTAATTGCCAGGCCTAGTAAAAATTTATCGTCTTTTCTTCGATCGGAATCGCATAAATTTCTCGCGAGCCCCTCGACATGACACATCCCCCCACTTTCGTACCGGCATTTCCGCACGACCCCCGGGGGAACGACAAATGGCTAATGGATGGTGGCTTGCCCCCCGAAAAGCAACTCATCTCCATCCATCCCATTCGATTTCGACCCAAATGCATTTACCCCACGAATATTCTTTTCGTTTGAAGCTTCGGATACTGTGTTCGATTTACCGTCGTGCTTCTTTAAACCTGTTCGAATCTCTATTTTTGGAGAAACTTTACGAAACAATGATTCTAACAAAGATAAAACTGTGGATAATATTTTCTCTCTTTCTTGATCTAAATCTCGAACTTCCCTGTAGAATTTCAAATTACCAATTCTCCCCTTGCTTCGAGCCTTCAACCACGGTTTCGCTGATTTTTTTAGTAGAATGAATGGAAATCAGGAGTCATAGTATCAAAATTTGTTTCGGGAACACTGAGAATCGATAGATAAGAATAATCGGCTTATTTTCAAAATGTCGAAATTCATAATGTCGAAATGTCATAATGTCGGAATGTCATAATGTCGAAATTTACATAGGTTAATATTACCGGTAAAGTCCCCGAATTCTAGACAAAAAAAATGTTGTCGTGAAATAAGTTAAAAAATAGAATGTGGAAAAAAATTTTTTGGCTAGGATTTGGCGGTTTCACCGGTAATATTAGCCTATGTAAATTTCGACATTATGACATTCCGACATTATGAAATTTCGACATTATGACATTTCGACATTATGACATTTCGACATTATGAAATTTCGACATTATGACATTTCGACATTATGACATTTCGACATTATGAAATTTCGACATTATGACATTTCGACATTATGAAATTTCGACATTATGACATTTCGACATTATGAAATTTCGACATTATGACATTTCGACATTATGAAATTTCGACATTATGACATTTCGACATTATGAAATTTCGATATTTGACTTTCGACATTATGAAATTTCGACATTATGACATTTCGACATTATGAAATTTCGACATTATGACATTTCGACATTATGAAATTTCGACATTATGACATTTCGACATTATGACATTTCGACATTATGAAATTTCGACATTATGACATTTCGACATTATGACATTTCGACATTATGAAATTTCGACATTATGACATTTCGACATTATGAAATTTCGACATTATGACATTTCGACATTATGAAATTTCGACATTATGACATTTCGACATTATGAAATTTCGACATTATGACATTTCGACATTATGAAATTTCGACATTATGACATTTCGACATTATGAAATTTCGACATTATGACATTTCGACATTATGAAATTTCGACATTATGACATTTCGACATTATGAAATTTCGACATTATGAAATTTCGACATTATGAGTTTCGACATTATGAATTTCGACATTATGAATTTCGACACTATGATACCAATTCAGAATAATCACATACCATTGTCAAAGATCACCTGTCTCGCACATGTTCTGAATGGATGACATTTGGTCGAGAGTATCGGATTGTCGCCAAAGGCTTGACCTGAGGTGTGCCACCTGTCATTCAAGGCAGAAGTCTTCTCACGCCCAGGTCAGCTTGCGTCAGCACCAAAGGCTATCACCGATGACCTGGGCGATTGATAGGTTACCTCAGGCTATTTGCCTAAGGGGTTTTTTCCTCACGAGCAGCAGATATATTTGCTCGTCTTGTGCTGGCTCTCTCCCTCTCTCTCTTTCTCTCTCTCTCTCTCTCTCTCTCTCTCTCCTCTCTCTCTCGATTTTTATCTCTCTCTCCCCTTCTCTCACACCAGCGTACTGTTGTTTTCTTTCTGGGTCATCGACAAAACGGCATTGATGCCAAAATTCATAAATCGTGGTGATTTTCATATTTCGAAAGATCCATCCGATCCGTCAGTCCTTGTCGAGACAAAGCATCGGACGGCGTTGGATTCCTCTGAGGATTCACGGGTGTAGGCAGAGGGAGAAAGAAAGAGAGAGAGAGAGAGAGAGAGAGAGAGAGAGAGAGAGAGAGAGATAGGGCGATAGAGAGGGAATACAGCCCTTGCAAAAAATTTTTTGGGTCTTTCAAAGCTCTACCCTACGATCGACTTTTAGCTACCTTAGACATTAATATTTTCCGGAGTGGGTCTTTTGAATATTTCTTGAATCGGTTTCTGGTCCAACATCGAAATTTTATATTTTTCATTGACAAACTCTTGCGATTTTCTCAATTTCCTTGACGTTTCCGACCACTTTTTGTTGTGCATCCATCGTCAGGCCCAAAATTGCGGGAAGATACCTCATCGATGTTTCTTTGCGGGCCGCCCGCGCGCTGCAGAAAAATTTCGCGCGTGAGCACACGTTTACGGCGTGAGCCAAAGGTTCATAAAGGGCAGCGCGGGACAGGACGGCCTCAACTCCTTTTCTGGTTATTTTATAGGGTTTACTTGTATTTGAAAGCTTTTCCTTTACTTTTCTGTCTCTTGCTCTGTTTCTCTGGGCAAGTTATCTTTCTCTATCTTTCACTCACTCTAGCTAGCTGACTTCTCTGGCTCTAGGCTCTCATTAGCTTGAATAGTCTAATAATATTCTCTTTTACCCGCTTTCATCTCACTATCTCTCTCTCTCTCTCTCTCTCTCTCTCTCTCTCTCTCTCTCTCTCTCTCTCTTTATATCGTATCTTTCCATTCTGACAATCACTGATAACAAAGTGGGCGTGGCTTCGTCCCGCACCCCTCGGACCTGCCTATATAAACAGAGCCCAGGGACAGATGCCATTGTTCCAAACCTTTCGATGCTACTCTATCTTATCTACTGACTAGATGGCTTCTTGCCCACCCAGCATTGCCCGCAGCTTACCTAGGTAGCCTAGCTCCCCTTCAGCTCGCAGCGACTTGCGCGCGCCGAACCGTGCGTTGGCGGAATTTAGCGAATTGCCCGCACCTAGCCTTGAGCTTAGGAATACTTGCTATATGCTTCCGGCTCGCGGCGTTTGCCCGGACACAGAGATCCTGTGCTTATTGCCCGCTGCCTAACAGGCCTTTTTCGTTGACCGTGCTAACCCAAATTAACTAGTTCCACACCCCCAATAATCCCGCCCTAATCGTTATCCGTTGCTAACGTGCGATGACACTTGAATGTCGACCTGACATTATGATAACCCGATTTTAGTCTGAGTTTTGATGCTAGACACTAACAGGCGAGGTGATTCCTGTGTTGTCTTATCAAAATTTTCGTACCTAGCAGTCGGCAGCGGTTCCATCATTTGAATGTTTGCATTCTGGCAATCTGTGTCTAGCATTTGCTTCTTCCGTCACTATCTTGCTGTCGGGATCTCTGGCTTTCTCTCATTCTCTCTCTCTTTCGTCCTCTCTCTCGCTCTTCTCTTTCTCTACCGCTCTCTCTCCCAAATAGCTTAACTCCATCTGACCCAAAAATATGGCGCTATCAGCTTCGCGACCCTTGCGGCTACTGGTCGTCCGGGAACGGGAAAGGTTATCAATGCCTGACCGGGTGGCATAGCACGCCACATGTCGCCCGGTTTTAGAAGTCTAGCTATGCAACTGGGCCTCATCGAACGTGATGGAATTGAGGCTTCGACTATGGGCTTCAAGCTGCCAGATGCCCGCCCCCTTTTGGCGTGGGCCGCGTACACGCCTACGAATTCTCAGATCCGTGGAGCTTATTGCTCTCCTAGAATGCGAGAAAATGACAGGAACAGTGCTGGAACTCCATCGAGAAATGCGAAGTGTGTACTACAAGCTGCTAAAAGAGAATTCTTACATGATGTCGCTCAGGTCTCGGAAACTTCAAAAAGAAAATAATGCAGCAAGCCGGGACTCGAGAATTTCGTCTAGGGTCAGGACTTGAGGCCGGATGCCCAAATGACCCGACGCACCAACGCACGACTACATCAATGCATCACAATCGTACAACCGGAAAACAAGAAACGTAAAAGATGTTCAACTCCGATGCCGGAAGTTCAACTCCTATAGGCTTGTCTGTGGCTACGTACTCGTCGAACTAGTATCTCAACGTACTATACAAACCGCCATCCATTTCTTGTCTTCCATGAGCTTCCGAGACTCGTCCACATCAACCCATTAACAACATTCCCCTTTCAGAAACAAAGATGAACCCACCACACCCAGCACAAGCATGCCCCGGCTATAACATGATGAACATGGGCATGCTGCACAACATGATCAACAACTACAACAGCTACCCCAATGGTGCGTCTTGCGTTGAAGCCCTGAGAGCATTCCCAATTTTAGACCCGCTCCTCCACGTGCGACAGACCCTTCCGAATGTCTTGGGGTCCGAGTTGTCATTTTCGAGTTGCAATGTACCAAACTCGATGTACGACCTTATCCCGGAAGCTGTGGAAACGAAGCCGCTTACGGCATCAGAAGAAATGGCACAGGAGCGAAAGAAGGTTCACCGCGGGTTAGTTTTTTTCTGTATAGCTTGGTTTAATTATTGGTGCGGCCTAACGGGAATGGCATGACGCACCATAGCTCAGCACGGTAGCCCATCTGGTCCGGCCACAAAATAGCAGTGCGTTGACGGGGTGCAGAACACTCTCTTTGAAAACTCCTTCCTGAGGTTCTGACGTTAACTCGTCTGCGCATTATATACAAAGTAGTCTGTTAAACTTGGGCATGGGTACTTACGCGGAGTCGTAGTAAAGGCTAGGTTGTGGATTCGACCCGCTCCGACGCGCCATATCAATGTGACGTGGTGTCGCGGGTCCTTGCGTCGAGCTTCCGACGACCCATTGTGTCAAAAACTCCATCTTTGGGGCGCTACTGGGTTACAAGAAAGCACCATGCCGCAAAAGTAGAGCAACTCCGAAGAAGCCCTGTCGGGTTTTCAGGCTACGTAGAGGCAGGGCGCGACGCCCCCATGGAAGGTGCTACACGGGTATCGACGACGCACCCTATACCTTGGTTACTGTCCGTGGATAGTCTGCGTAGTCATAGGCGTACGTATGGGTGAGATCCCATGACGCCCCATGTCATGTCATGTCTTGACGCACCACACAGAGCCAACAAGAACCCCTGGTTTCAGTCATCCGGTGTGGAAGTACTTTCGGCTATGGCGCGCGCCTGATACATCGATGACAAAGGCAACTGCGCACTGCAAGCTTTGCCGGAAGAGAAAGATCCCGTCCGCATCGACAAAATCTGCGATGCGTCACCTGAAGAACCACCATGCGGCAGCGCATGCTAAGGTAAGTAGCCAAGGCGTTGGGCCGCCATGATGGCCTCTTTAGGTGTTGGAGCAGACCGAAGGGCGCATCTTCTATCGCCACGGAGACCGACCGCGAGGTGGGTGAGACAGGGTCGAGTTTGGACTGAATGGGCAGGGACATAACAGTATTAGGGGCGTCAAGGCATGGCATGGGTATCACAGCTCATGTGTCGGATCTATGCATTACTTCGTAGGCTGAGCACTTATGCATCATGTCGAGACTTGGGTAATTATGCGTGAATGATCAATAAGAACGTTTTAAAATGTGGGCTTACAGAAACAACATCGTGTGAAATTGTGACTTTGGCGCCGGTCGTTACGGAAAATAATACGATGCTGAAGTTTGTGGTAATGGTTTAGAAAACCCCAAAGAAACAGAGCCAGAGAGAGAGAACCAGAGAGAGAGAGACCGAGAGAGAGAGAGAGAGAGAGAGAGAGAGAGAGAGAGAGAGAGAGAGAGGGTGAGAGAGAGGAGAGCGCGCGATAACGAGAGAACGAGAGTGAGCGAGTTAAAGTTATATAGACAGACAGAGTTATCTGGAGGGTTAGGGGGTACAGAAAGACTGAGAAGGTGACAGAGCACGAGAACGAGAGAGAGCGAGAGAGAGAGAGCGCGAGAGAGAGAGAGAGAGAGCGAGCGAGCTCCAGAGAGGGGGGACAGTGAGAGAATGAGATGCGAAGTGAAATAATTACTCCTACAGAACTTTACTCCACCCAGCAATGGCACCAAGCCTCCGCCCAGCGTCCTCCGCTCGGCCTTGGAACTCGCCCTCACCCTCCCAACCTCATCTGAGGTACCCTTATCCGCCATATCCAAAACTCCAGCTTAGGACAAGCCGTACAGCTCCGTGCAGCTGAGCCCGATCTCGATGGAATCTCCCCAATCCCCGCCATTCTTCAACTTCGAGCCGAAGGTTGAGAATGAAGATATCGCTGAAAAGCAGAGGCTGGAATATCAGGAGACGACCAGCTTGTTGAAGATGTTCACGGGGAGACAAGATGGGGTAATTGGTCTTACAGTGTCTTTATGATCATCGTATGCATGCTCATGTTACTAAATAAACTTGAAATTTTAGCTCTACGAGTGCAACAGCTGCACCTTCTGCTCCTCTTACGACATCAATGTCTTCCGCGCTCACCAGGGCAGCACCCATCGAGTCCAAAAGTTCCAGGTACAACTTTTTAGTGGCGCCTTTATGTGAGGAAAAAATGGTTTGTCGTCTATCGATCTGCGCATCTGCCTAGGTCTTCCATTAGTGCGAGAATTTATCTTATCATCTGTTCGCCCTGCTGCCGATTTCGGGGGTCACAAGCTTGCGGGCAAAAATCAAAAAGAAAACTTTGAGCTCTTATCTGGGTTTTCGATGCTAATAACCCCAAATACGGAATGCAGCTTTCTGCCGCGCGCATGCGTTGCGTGTTGCGCCTAGAGCCTTTCGGGATCCATATCCACCAAACATGACACTTACCCTTCCCTTGAATATCCAAATTTTAGCCAAAGCCCCAGCCTCCAACGGAAAGCTTTCAGCCGAGCCCCGCCTCCTCCTCGGGCATATACGGTAGGCTATGCACTATACTTCTCCGCCCACCCTGGGTGGGCCCCCCCTAGGGGGGACAGAGGGGGGACTGAAAGGGGGGATGGTGGGGGGGCCCCCGGGGGACCCCGGGGACCCCGGGGACCCCCCAATGACCGTGCCCCCTACCCCCCTGAGGCATGAAGGTATGGCATCTACGAGTTCCATTCGCTATACCGAATTTTCACTATACCGAATTTTCGCTATACCGAATTTCGCTATGCCGAATTTTTGGTATACCGAATTTTCACCATGCCGATTTTCACGATACCGAATTTTCACCATGCCGAATCTTCGCCATACCAATTTTGATAAGCGGTATGTTCCCAATTTTTTTTACTGTTTTTTTTCGAAAAATATGGGCCTAGAAAGTTAGAGTTAGCCTAGAAGTTTCCAAAAACGCAGGCAGATCGTGGGTCCCGTAGGCGCAGCAGATTTTCTGTTGCACCGCAAAGTCCCAGCCGATCTTCGTTATTAATATTAGTAGAGAACCAGGGTTGAAAAACCGCTTCGCGGCTTTTCAACCCTGGCCCCGTCTTCTCCAATGATATTCTTGACTTTGCATAATCTTCCCGGATTCGGATGACGAAAATGAAAAATGCTCTTGCCGTCCCTTTATATAGGCTACCGCGACTTCCGGTGCATGCTAATTTTTTCCTAACAAATTGGGGTGTCCGATTTTCCATGAAAAACTTAATTTTAATGTCGAAAACATCATATTTTGTAAGATCTGATATGTGTGCAGTCATCTCCAGCCCATTACGCACCTAATGACGTATCGAACATACCCCTAAGTACTTCCCCTCTTGAGATACTACTGGAACACGCTGACGGAAGTTGCATGCAAATGCACACACACACACACAGGAACTATTTTTTTTATATATAGTAGGATATTAGTAATAGAGTAGCAAAAATTCGGCATAGCAAAATTCGGTATAGCGAAAATTCGGTAAAGTGAAAATTCGGCATAGCGAAATTCGGCATAGCGAAAATTCGGTGGGGGTGGGGGGTGGGGGTGGGGGGTGGGGGGGGAGGGGGAGGGGGGAAGAATCCCCCCCGGGGGGTCCCCCGGTTGGATGTGAGGGGCCGGCATGGATAGCTGCCCCGAGAGAGGCATTCCGCGTGCTTCGGTAGCTCAATAGGGAGAGCATCGGACTCGAAAGCCGTAGGATGCGGGTTCGACCCCCGCCCGGAGCACTTGTTTTGCGGATTGGACCCGGAGCTAGTCCATGGCCATGGGACCCCAGAATTCCCAACTCCCCCGGGGGGCCCCCCCACCATCCCCCCTTTCAGTCCCCCTCTGTCCCCCCTAGGGGGGGCCCACCCAGGGTGGGCGGAGAAGTATACTATGCACTCTTTCCGAGAGATTGTCGTAAGTTTTATTCGAAAAAGTTTTTATTTGAATGAAAGTTTTTTCCGTAGATGGGCTAGAATTCGGAACGATTTACTTGTTCAATAAAATTTAAGTTTTAAAGATTGTGCTTTAGCTTTTTTCCTTACTCCTTACCTTTTGGGCTTTTGCAAACCTCTTAGGCGTTAAATCAGCTCGAAAAACTGCGGATAATTAAAGAGAGCCTAGGACAAAGTTTCATTCCTACGTGAAACGAAAATTCAAATTTCAGATCCCCGCGCGGTCCCTTCATTCACAAACGAGCCCTCACACTTCCCCTGTCCCTATCAAAATCTGAATAATGACGCCAGTCTAAGCATATGATCATGATTTTTTTTCTATAAATTCAGCTATTGTAGTTTAGAAAGCCAGAATTTTTTTTATTTTATCCTCTTTCTCCATAGTTTTATGGAAAACTGGTCTCGATGCATTTCTCCAGCATTTGGCTCATTATTTTGCATTTACTCTCTTCGTTGTTATTTTGCGGTTGTTGGTTTCTACATATTATATCAATATATTTTATGATTATTGATGAAAACTTGTCAATTATTGATAAAAGAATTACGGTGGTAGTCATTCGAACAGTAGAGAAATCGGACAATGCAAACCACAACGTGTAACTGGGTAAGCGTGCATGCAATGCCCAAACCGTTGTGCTCACAATACTTTTTGCATTTGACAATTTATTCAAGTCTATTTTGCGACCCTTGCCATACTTAATGGGCGGGAGCAGGGGCTGGAAGTCCGTTGACCGAGACGGGAGGTGGGGGTGATCCGTTGCCGGCTAAAATTAGGTGTTTTTTAAGTTTCTAGTATTTGGATTAGACTATGGCACATGGTAACGTACCAACTGGAGGTGGGTTGGAGGTCCCAGCAACCGGAGGAGGAACGGAAGCCCCCTGGACCGGAGGAGGTACGGACGCTCCTCGGACCGGGGGAGGGTTAGATTGTCCAGCAACCGGCGGAGGGTGCGAGGCTCCTTTGACTGGAGGGGGGTTAGAAGCTCCCTGAATTGGCGGCGGGTCCGAGGCTCCAGCAACCGGAAGAGGGACGGGAGCTCCATGGACCGACGCGGCGCGCTTGACCTTAGGTGGGACGGAAGCGCCGTTGACTGGAGGAGGGTTGGAGGCTCCCTGAACTGGCGGCGGGTTCGAAGCTCCTTGCACCGGAGGAGGATTCGAGGCACCTTGAACCGGGGGCGGGTTGGAAGCTCCTTGGTCTGGAGGGATAGATGCTCCCTGGAGAGGTGCGGCACGCTTCACCTTTGGTGGGACGGAAGCGCCGTGGACTGGAGGAGGGTTGTTAGGTGCGCCCCCGGCTGGAGGTGGGTCGGATGCTCCATGGAGCGGTGGTGGGTTCGACGCTCCAGCAACTGGAGCCGGCTTTCCTAAAACGCATCGATAAATCTGGATTAGGGTTCAGGGTCTAACTTGTCGGAGGTCAACTTCAAATTCATTAGAATTGGCATTGAGCTATTGTGTGTTTTAAAAAGTGAAAGTTTTGGATTCTTAGACTTACCGGTTAGTGGTGGAGGTGGCTTTGTGGCAGGGGCGGCACTAGAAATTAAAAACATATAAATAATACTTCATTGAAAGTTTTACTCTTTCAGGAATCTTGCAGAGAAATGTATTTTAAGTTGCTAAGATCAACAAAACCTACCAAGCCACGGCAAGAACTGCCAAGAAGCCTACAACGGCAGTCTTCATCTTCGAGTCGGAGGAGACCAGAAATTGATACTTCCAAGTACCATCCACCGCCTTTTATACAAACCCAATGGGGGCTGATCTCGCGTTATTTATTGCAACGCGAAGCCCAGGTCTAGCTGCAGGGTCTAGCTGTAGGCTTTACTGGTCAGAATCCGGCACTGCCAGACCATACCCAACGTCACTCCGTAGCGATCCGTAGTCGGAATTGGACTGTAGAGTCCAGGAAACCTGTGCAAACCTGAATTGATCCAGAAGTCTTTGAGGTCGGCGGGGCCAGGGCTATTCGGAGGGGTCGGGGTCGATGTAACAAGTTTTGAAGCCAGATGTGCAAATAAAGGGGATCTTCAACGAGCTTTTTTGGGTGCAAATGACGTCAGAGTGACCCCAATCGGCTTGTTATAAAAGACTGAATCTCCAGCGGAGCAGTATCAATTCCTGGTCCCCTCCGACTTGAACATGAAGACTGCCGTCGTCTGTTTCTTGGCTGTTATTGCTGTGGCTTTGTGAGTTCTTTGTAGGCTTAAAGGAGCTGGAAAAATGTGAGACAGACTCGCCGACTATGCTTAGGCCTAGTCAATTTAGCTTAAGAATAAAATCTAGATATCTAAAAAGCTTGCTAAACCCCTTCTCATAAAAAGAATTCTCAGATAATTCAAAACAACCCCAAAAATGAATTAAAACTTTTCTAGTGCCGCCGCAGCCACCGCCCCTCCACCACCCCCGACCGGTAAGTCCAGTCTGATTTAAGTCCGAGTCAGCACCTGAAACTGAAAGGTCTGTGTTTTATCAATGTCTTTCCAGGCCGCCCAGCCCCAGTTCAAGAATCCTCGAACCCGCCTCCGGTCAAGGGAGCTTCTAACCCTCCCCCGGTTCAGGGAGCCTCGCACCCCCCTCCAGTCGCCCACTAGATAACGACTGATTGAAGGAATAAATTTTAATAAATAGAAACGGTCACAAGAAGCCACAAAAGGGCACCCAAAAACATCTTTTGCAAGCTACAATCGAAAGAAAGTCTCAACTAACGGCAAGTTAAGACGGCGAACGCAAAGTTGCAAGAAAAGGGGTGCTAGCTAAAGAAGTATACTTCTCCACCCGGGAAAAATATTTTTTTATGCAAGTGATTTCGGGTGTATCGTTCACTCTTCCTCTTTCCCTTTCTCGTTCGCTTTCACATTTTCCTTATCTTTCGCTTTCTTCTTGACTCTCTCCATCTCGTTATCCGCGTGAAAAGCGTGAGCTTATTTCTCCCAATACCACATTACCGTTACCCCATGGCAGGCGGTCACGTGTGGGTGGGCCCAACTGGGTGGTCCCACGGCTCCCCCCAGAAGCTCCCAAAAAAAGATCGATTCTTCCTTGGGGCCCATTAGGTCCTCCCGGGGGATCATCCTCTCCGTTTTCGAAACATGCTCTTGGCCAAAATCTAGCGACAAATTCCCAGTTTTTTTCCCAGTTGATGCCTCCATTTCATTGGTTTTCTTCAGCTTGCTTGAATTCTTTTATATTTCTGGGTATTTGGACCAATTTCCGTAGATCCATATTTTTATGGTTTCGTAAGTAGTAATGCTCGTATTTTACCCTGTCGCTTTTAGGAAACCCACTAGCGCATTCGCAAACTGTTTCTTTAGTTTTCTCCTAAGAATTGAAAGGCAGCTATTTAGATTCCTGGAGCTAGCGAGAGAGAGAGAGAGAGAGAGAGAGAGAGAGAGGAGGGGGAGCGCGAGGCGAGAGAGAGAGAAAGAGACGCGCTTGCTAATGGACGCCTCCCAAGGATCTACTAGCAATAAAACCGAGACGTTGATCTGGGACATAACGACGAACCGCCGGTAAGTCTAGCCCCCATTTAAAATCCACTGAATCTTCTCTAGACATCCGGTCTGCCAATTCTTCGACTGTTACGATGGATATCGCAAAGATTGCATAAATAGAGTGGCCGGACGGGTGGTTTGCAAAAGATGTGCTTGGGAAAAAACGGCGCAAAAGGCACAGCCTTCGACGGATGTCATGGCTAAACATTTAGCAGAATGTCATCGAAAGAAACATCGAGAGGTTTGTAGTTTATTGTATCTCATAAAATCTCCGGTTTTTAGACAAAATCAAGGCCCGCGAACCAATTAAAAACATTCTTTTTTTCAGTTTTTGCAACGCATGAAAACGTGGAAAAAAGTGGACAATAAGAAAAGTAAGTCTTTGGAGCTTTCTATCACATTAAAAGCAAAATCGAATTCTGGATATATAAATAAAAGTATTTTTGGTATAGTCTATTACATGTATTTTTCAGGAATTAACCCGTTATTCAGTGGCGCTGCTCACAGCGATGTTCCGAAGATCCAGGCGGTTCCAGAGGTAGGAAAATCCTAACTTTAGATCCTAAACTTTAAATAATGACGTCCCCGTGTTTAGTGAAGGCATTAATATTCGCATTATATGAAATATATTAACGTATCGATTTTAGAAACAACCGCCCCTAATCAACCGCGCCGCGCTAGACCTATACCTGGGAAAACCTGCAGCAACGCCAAATTTGACGGCAAACTCGATAGGACCGGAAATGCAGAGCGAAAATATTCCGGACAGTGTGAAAGGTAGAATTTTGCTTACTAGACTATTATTCATTTTTGCACTAACTTTACAGACCATTTTGATCATTCTTTCTAGAAACTTACATTAAAATAAGTGTCACGATGACCCGCCGGATTATGGAGGCTTACCACAGGCGAATCATGGAGGCTTGTGAAGAAGACAAACCATCAGGTACCATTTAGTTCCTAGTGAGAGAGAGAGAGAGAGCGAGAGATGAGAGAGAGGGGGGAGAGCGAGAAAGCGAGAGAGAGAGAAAAATAGTTTCAAATTCCAGAAAACTTGTCCCAAGCCTTGGCCGCGCTGGAGGATCGGTCCAATTCCCCCGCCTCACCAGAAATGCAGGAGAAAATTGAAAAATTCAAGGATCTTTTTCCGCGGCATTTGAAGCGAGCTGGTAAACAAAGCTTAAAAAACTTAATTGTCAAACTTTAAGTTTGAAGGCGGTATTAAATAAAAACCCAAAAGATCCATATAAAATGCCAGGTTTTCCATTGCCGTTTTTAGCCTCATCTTCCCCATTCAGCAGAATCGGAACCGCCGTCCCACACCGGAAATTTAGCCAACGGAAATTCGAGGACGGCCAGCGCATCATTTTTGAGGTTTCTCTTTTCCTGAAAACGGTTAAGGAAGACGACATTACTTTAGAGGGAAAGCTGCGCGAGCCGGTATGTAACCGTCGCTTCCGTTGACAAACAGACGGAGACCTTTGAAGTCTCGAGGAATGGGACTATAATTAGAAAAATGGAAGTCCTTCCGGTGCGCGTTAAAGAAAGGTACTTTGAAAATGAAGCTCTTCCGGCGCCGACAGAACAATATGAAGCCGAGGCCGACGTTCCGGAAAGTTCGGGCAGAGCGACTGAAAGACCGAAAATTGCTCGCAAGCCGGAATCGGAAGGTAGCCTATCACACTTAATGGAATTCTCGGCAGAAATAGTCTGGTGTATTATATTTATACGGGGCCCAAAAAATCGACCCCCCAGCGGACCGCAAAAGCCGGATCGGAATGATTTTCACCCATCGAAAGCCCTCAAACGGTGAGAAACTGCGCCTGCAAAAATTTTAGTCTCGCCGTACAAGTTTCTGTAAAAGCGTAAACCAGCATCGTCCTGTTTGCTTTAGCAACAATTAACATGCCGATTTTGCATAATCTGCAGTTTTCTCGATTTTGGCCTAAATTTAATGAATTAAAATTCCCATATTGAAAACGAAAGTGCTTGTTTTCCGCCTTTTCGGTGCTTTCGATAGATACCAAATCGTCAAAATCGGACATGACTGCGGCCCGCAGAGGGGGCGATTTTTTGGACCCCTGGATAGTAGAAAAATTGTTAGCACCTTTTTAAGATTTAGAAGTACCGTTCGACCCTCTGCCGTCAGGGTTGCTCTTTACGCGAGGACCCGAGCTTCGAATGCACGCGCGCGGAAAAAGGCCTCCAGAGTACAAGCCTCGCAAAGGTGTCTCCTTAAACTAAAATTTCAAGATTTTTCAGAAAGACAAGAGCTTAGCAAACGCCCGGATGAAGCTCAAGCTCAGCACTGTTTAGTTCGTCCGGATGTAGAGAAAGTCATAGGAGGGTCGGAGGACCTCCGGGTCGAAGAAGCGCCAGGTAAGCGGCCGGTTTTTGCTATTTAAATAAATTGCTTAACCTTACGTGTTTCGAATAGTCTAGCGAGAGCGAGAGAGAGATAGAGATAGAGACAGAGAAAGAGAGAGAGAGAGAGAGAGAGAGAGAGAGAGAGAGAGAGAGAGAGCGAAAGAAAGATGGAGGAGGCCAGCCCCATTGAAGTTTTTTTATCTAACCGCTTTCTCTAAACCTCTTTAAAGTTTTAGGACCATTAGGTGAGAAGTTTTGGCATTACGTTCGGAGGCCACACTATGTAATACAGGTCTTTATGGTACTATACGGTATTTTTTCATAGTTTTTGCCATGCTTACTCAAAATTCCCAATTTTTCAGCACAAAAGAAGAAGCTCTTCAGCCACGCAGCGATTCTGAGCTCATACGCGCCGAGTGGAGCTCATACCACCCAAAACATACAGATTTCAAAGTTGCAGTCTCCTCCGGTCGATATTTTCCAGATTTAATTTTTCTACGTCAACAACACAAAAAAAACATTCCGATTAACGTTGGTATGTAAAAGGCTTGTAGCTTTGCCCCAAAAATAGAGACGATGTGCTGGATGAGCGGAGACATGACTACGGTGATAGTTAAAGATGCCTGAAAGAGAAAGAGCTGGATGGAACATGAAATGGAGCAAGAGGTCATAAAATTCGACATTTTCCAAAACCCTCCCAACATTTTTACCTTTCAGTTTGTGATTTCAGTACCTCTTTTCCTGTACAGTTTCGAATTTTAAACCAAAAAATAAGCAAAAAAGCCAGAGGAAAAGACAAAAAAAGCAAACCCTTGCAATCCTCAAATCCATAATCTGCTTGTGATCTCATTGTCCATTAATTTGTGCTGAATCGCAACAATTTATTTGATAATAAATATTTCTATAATACAAGCATTAATGTCAACATAGCTTCTTCATTTTTAAATTAAATTTTTTATTTTTGTATATGAATTGTTGGCAAAGTTTTTCGTTTCGGGAAGTGCATTTCGCAACTCGGCGGCATCGACCTTGACCGCCGCTGTTTGCACGCAGTTTTTAGGGCGTTTTTGCCAAAAAGGGCCGCTTTCTGGCGACAGATGCGGCTTTTGTAGAATTTTATGGCCTGGCACGCTCTGGTGGCGACTGCTAGCGAGCACGCGTTCTGTCAAAAAATTTCTTGATTCAGCTCGAGTCCTCTCGCTTCTACCGTACCCCGTCGCATCACTGTAGTTGGAGCAATTATTCTGGCTTTGGTTATGATACTTGAATATATCGATTTTTTTTTAGGAGGGAGAGAGAATGGGAGAGAGAGAGTGTAAGAGAATCCGAAAAATTCTCTCAAATTCTGTTCTAAGATTCTCTCAAATGTCAATATTTGCTAACTACGCGGTTTTCTTAAAGAATGCCTAACAATAATTCTCAGCAGCGAGCCAACAATGCTCGCCGCTGACGCTACCAAAATCCTCGGGCAAGGAGGGTGAGGCTCATTCGGGTGGGCAATGCAGGCAATGCTTCCCGCCATTCCCAAATCTTTCGGTCGCCACTGGCGATTTGCGGCGCTTTCAAGATGCCGGGGGCCCCGAATATCCAGTATATTTTGAGTTTTTGAAATTAGGAAAGCTTTTTGATATCGTTAAACCGGAATAATCCTTTTTTTATTTTTTTTTGCCTCTTTGAATCGCAACCTAAATCCTTTAGGGATCGTTTTCTAAATCTATATTAACTGTTTTGAACCCTTGCGATGTCTTTGGTAATGTTATATTCAGATTTTGCGAATTTTCGAGATGATGCCTAAGGGAGTTTTGCTCACTCTAAAGAAAAGACTTGCTGCTCATTCCGAAATGAATTATTACAATTGGGTCAGTACGACAAACCGACCGTAAGCTTACTAAATGCCAGTAAATCAGATTCTATTCCAGCCATCCGGTCTGTCAATTCTTCGACTGCTACGACGGGTACCGCAACGAATTCATAAATCGGCTCGCCGCGCGGGTCGTTTGCAAGAACTGTGAATGGGAGAAGATCACAGAAAAGGCGTTACCATCGATTGAGCTGATGGTTGAGCATTTACAATACTGGCATCAGGACATCTATGGACAGGTTTCTAGTTTTTCTTCAATTTTTCAATTTATCTACCAAAAGCTGTGGATTTTCGAGCTAACTAAATGTTTCTAAGAACACATGTATCGTTAATTTCCGTGCTGTAGATTGTAGTCTCAGAAAAATTAAATTTTTAACTTACAACATAATAAAAAAACTACTAAACTTTACTAAACTGCCAGTTGCAAATTTTGTACAAACTTTTTCAGTACAAGCACCTCGAGAAATTCTGGAAAAAGGTCGACACCAGAAAGAGTAAGTTTTTTAACGATATCCAAAACCCTAGAGCATTCTACTGTTCATTAGGTTTCATTTTCAGAGGTAAATCCGCAGCTACGAGGCGTGGTTCCCCTAAAAAGCCCCAGAAAGTCGTCAGCTGAGGTATGCTTAATTCCGGGCTTAACGATTTCAATTCTCGTTTTAGAGCAACCCGCAAGGTATCGATTTTCAGGGACTAAAAAGGTTAATGGAAGAAAGTAAGGTAACATTGTTTAAAACAATTTGAATCTAGGTGTTTTTTAGAAGTTGGCAAATGGACATCGGGACGCGAACCGGGATGGCGCTGGGGGTTCGGCTGCTGTGGATACGGAAAATCGTATCAACGGGGCCACGTCATCAAGTCGTATGAAAGCGGAACCCTTTTCAGAGGTTGAGCAAGAGCGTAAAGCTCACGATGTACAGGAACATCGGGAAAAGCGCGACAAGAACTTGGCAGGTAAATCTTCAAGCAGCAGCATCAATCCCGTATTACGTCCTGAATTGGATGCCTTACATATAAGAACGTTTTCAGGTCCAAGTCCAGCTAATAATGCTATATGCAGCAAAACCGGAAGTTGGTCTCAAAGTGGTAAAGGTAGTGAGGAGGTAAAAAGAGTTAGAAAACCCACTGACAATGAGGCTGACGGCCCTCCAGGTAAGTATTTATTGAAAATTCCATTAAATTGGTATATTTTTAATGTGAGTGTATATATTTTTGTAAAAGAGCGAGCTAGAGGTCGCGAGAGTTACAGAGTAGCGAGAAAGAGAGAGAGAGCAAGCGAGAGAGAGGGAGAGGGAGAGAGAGAGAGAAAAGAGACAGAGCGAGAGAGAGTGAGCGAGTGAAAGAGAGTGAGCCAAAAAGACCTCAAATTCCTAAACATTTTCAGCCAAAATCAAAAAGATGGTCAGCCACCAGGCCATCATAAACTCACACTCAACGCGTCGCAACCAAAATTTGTTGGAGTACATTATACACCCCCTAAAAACACAGACAAACAATTAATTCTTTTTCAGGTTTACAGTTTATTTTTCAGGTATTTTTATGATTCCGCAAAATTAAAGATTAATCTGGTAAGATTTCATGCGTTTATTAAAGTGGAGGGAGTCCTAAATCGGTGGGAGCCTGAGAGATAGAAAGTGAGAGAGAGAGAGAGAGAGAGAGAGAGAAAGAGAGAGATAGAGAGAGTGGGAGAGAGAGAGGAGAGAGAGAGAGAACGGAGAGAGTGGGAGTGGGAGGGGAGAGAGAGAGAGAGAGAAAGAGAGAGAGATCAGGAAAGGACATACCCAAGACTTTATAAAGTCTTTAAAACTTCATGATGTGTAATACCGGCTATCAAGAATTATGTCTCCGCCTCGACCACGTCTGTACTGAGCAATTCCAGCATTGTCTTTGCTTTATCCTCGTTTTCGTTGGCATATTAATCGTTATGGAATCAGTAACAACATACAGAAAAGAAGAAGCGCAAAAAAGATTACTTGCCCAACTGATTTTCCGATTGTTTTCTATTGTGGATTTGTTATTTGGATTTTTTAATAAAGCAAGTACTGATTTATTGATATTTTATTAATGTAAAGTCAGCTGGCGAATGATAATTTAAAGGAATGTTCGGCGATAAGGAGTTGATCGACCTTTTCGAGGGCTACAGAAGGATCGCAGGGATTATCGACCTAAAAGAATATACAAAGATGTTCGAGTGCCAGATTATATGAATAACTTTCCATCCAAATTTTTCGGCAGCTGCGCAAGGAAGAGGACCTCACCTGGCTTCAGGTCTGGGTCATGTTGTAGGGGACGTGAATGGCAGCGCTAAAACAGAGCATAAGTTGAAATAAAGTTAGAAGATGAGAGAGAGATAGAGAGAGAAAGAGAGAGAGAGAGAGAGAGAGAGAGAGAGAGAGAGAGAGAGAGAGAGAGAAAATGAACGAAATATGGGAAGGCGAGGACATTGAAAAATCAAAACTACCAACGAAAAAGGCACCAATGGTTTTTGAAAACTTTTCAGAAAATTGGTTTGTTTGGTTTAATGGTATTCCGTGTCGCCAAAATCCGTATTTGGAAGCATGTTATGAAAAATATTAAAAACCACATCGAGACGGTTTACTTTTCCTCTGGCCATATTTTCAGAATCGGCTGATTTTTCTCGAACCTCGCGTTAAGGGCTCTTGATGCCTGGGTTTATGGATGGGCTGAAGCTTAGGGATCCGCTTAGGCTTAGGCTTAGGCTCTGGCTTAGGCCTACGACTCGGCTTATATTTAATGCAGACCCAGCTAGTTTAAATTCGAGCTCGCAAGGTTTTTCCTTGGCCATTGCCCCACGCAACGGTTTTGGCTAGATAGTATCGGCAAACCATCTTTCCGCGAAAATTCATTATCTGTCAATCAATCACACTTTACAGTCGGCTAGTTCAAAGGGGCGGGGCCATCGAAATATTACACTGCAACAGTTGCCACTACCCTTCAGGATTTAAGGTGATGGGGCAAGAAGTGGCAGCATTTTCCGGAGCTCCACACTTTACTTGCTTCACCAAATATACGCTTTTTTGACTAAAAAACTGTAAAGTGACTAAGGGCATGCCTCCACCAATTTCCTTTCCGTTCTTTGAGCTTGACCCTGGATCTGACAAGTGGTTCCGTAGTGGCAACAGTTGCCACCCCCCCAGCTGACGTGTAGGTCGCGTTACGTTTTTTTGGACATGCTTTTGGATTTTTTGGCACTTTTTTAGGACTTGATCCTTGCAGTAGATTCCTAATAAAATAAAAAAAATTATAAAAATTCGTCGAAAAATTTTCTCTCACGCCTAGTTTTTATTGTTGTTAGCACTTTTTGTATAATTTTATATATCCTGCATATTTTGATTATCTTTACAATTTCATACTTTATACTTAATCTCAAGACCTTTAATCAATATAAATTTAAGATTTAGATCTTTCAAACATAATGAGCGCAATGTTCAACTTATTGCCTCATGCTCCTAAACGAAGATCGAATTTCCGCTATCGCGAAGACGACCTAATTTGGCACGCGACGACGAACAGACCGTACGCAAAATTATTTTTATGTCATGCCTTTTTAATGTTGTACTGAATTTTAAGATTTAACAATGTATTTATATTTAGACACCCTGTCTGCCAATTTTTCATCTGCTACGATGGGTACCTGAAAACGGGAGAGGATCGCGTTTTGGGGCGAGTAACATGCAACAATTGCGAATGGGAAAAGCGGGCGCCAAAGATTCAGCCAACAACAGATAGTATGGTCAAACATTTGGAGGAATGCGATGCGTCACTTTATCTACAGGCACAGATCGAGAAACGTTCAATTTTATGCAAATTTTTTAGTTCTTGAAGCTTATGAAAACGTGGAAGAAGGTTGATACACGAAAAAGTGAGTTTTTAAAGTTATTTCTAAAAACAACAGAAAATTAAAGCTATTTAACATCGCGTCCTTAGATACATTAACTCGTCTTACAATTTCTGTGTAGTCAATGAGAAGCTTTTTATCTAAAAATAGACTGCTTTTTATTGAAAATTTCAGAAAGAAATCCACTAATGCGTCGCAAGCCCCAACAAAATGCTCTAGAATTTCTGCCGGTGGTCAGGGTATTGAATTCCCAAAAACCATAATTGGCTGTCAACTTATAGAAACAGTCGCTGTCAATTAACATGGCCGATGTGAGAGCCAGACTTGAAAAATCGGCAACAAGCGCTCCAACAAGCCCCAGAAAAATCAAGGCGGAAAATTTTTGGGAGCAAAGCAGTCAAGGAAGCTCAAAAGGTGGTTAGATTCAAATCGAATAAAACTTTAATTTTTTTCTCTTTAGAAAATGGCAACAAAAATCATGTAAAATTTGCCACTCTTAAATTGGAACCGCAAGATGAAGCTGATGTGAAGCCTGATGTAAATCGCCTAAAAGGTAATCCAAAAAAAGGAAATTATGTTCTTTTTCGTTCTTTAGAGGATTTCGTGAAAAAGAAGCATTCTTGCCGTGAGGGCACAAGTTCAGTATCATCAGAAAACACGACCAAAGACTACAAGAAAATAACCAACGTCAAAATCGAGGTGTTATCAGATGGGGAAGAAGAAGACAAAGCCGAATTCGATGCTCCAATTGATCCACAACCAAAAAAGCAAAAACCACTCTTCAGCCATACCGAAATTCTAAATTCCTATGCGATGCGTCGGGGTTAAAATATTCCCAGCCCTCTGCTTGTCTCTGTATCAACTACCGTCAACCTCTAATTGAAAAAGTACATTCATCTATTGGCCGGCACGATTACTACCCGCTGATACTCACATTGTTGTTTTTATGGTATGGCTCCTCTCGCCATTGTCGCATTTTTTAGTTTTGAATAAATTTTATTGGTTTTTGAATAAGATTCCGGGGCCAGGAGGGCTAGCAGGACAGACGACAGATTTTTCTCTCGCAGCCTCTTTATCTCTATTTCGTTTTCTAAGAATAGTATCGAAGGTTTAAAATCCTTTGAAGCGGCGAAAACACAGCAAAACACCTTGCTAATATGAATTTTAAAACACGCTTCGATTTGAGTGACTCTTCGAGTGCTGCTTCCTTCGAGAAACAGGAATTATCAATTCTTAGTGACGCTTTTCCAAATCCTTCTAAAGCATGAAAATCCATTTTCATCTTTTTTTAAAGCGTTTTTTACAGCCAATTTTCCGGTAATTGCTTGACCCTTGCTCCTCTGCGGCTAGATGTGCTTTTTGTGTTTAGGGAAGAGCATGGAGGATGTGTGCCCTCGGGTTCTCTAAAGCGGCCACATCATCCGCTCAACCAAGATGGATGGGCTGTGTGGGTCCATTCCGGGTTGTTTTCGTTTGTGGATCGGTTTTTGGGTATAGTGATTTGCCTTAAAGGTGGTAATGATTTTCGTTTCGTAATCGTTTACGAGTTTCTCTCTCTCGCTCTCGATCTCTCCCTATCTCTCGCTCCCTAGCTATCTGTCGCTCTTTCTCCTCTCTCGTTTTCACGCATTCACGATTTAACAAAACTGCTGGACAATAAAACTTCCTCCTTCTAATTTTCTAAAAATACGAACAAAATTCTAGTTCCCCTCGACCCCATCCTTTTGGGCAACCTCTAGCCGCGACCTGACAAGTTCATTAGAGTCCCGATGTTGCGAGAAGCTGGGGTCCGTGTATGTATGTTGACCGTATGCTATCCGGAAAAAAGGGATAATTGGGGGCTAGGCTCTTTTTTCAGGGACTCACTCCCTCCCCCCTCTCCCCCCCTCTCTCTCTCTCTCTCTCTCTCTCTCTCTTTCTCTCTATCTCTCTCTCTCCCTCGCTCTCCATATCCCTTTAAGCCCTCCCTAAAAGACACTGGGTGCTCGCATTTCGATCCGCAAAGCACCCATTTGACGCCTCCCCCCTCGGGGGACACGGTTTAGGTTGCAAATTTCCGATGCGAGCCCGTAGATTGGATGGGCATTCCTAAATAAAGAAACTGGGAAGCAGGGAACAGCCAATGCCTAGCTTCAGCTTAGTTTGGGCTTAGAATTAAGTTTAGGTATGGTTCGGGTTAGGCTCAGGCTCAGGCTTAGCCATAGCATGGCCCATACGGTATCCCAAAGCCCAAAATCGACAATCGGCACGTCCCGACCGCCCTTTTAAGGCACACTTTTTTGGTACAATTATTTGCGGCTTTTTAACCCTCTCCCCCCTGAAAAAGGCTACAATTTTTGGACCACGTTTGCCAGGGCACCCCTCGATTTACAATTTGATCTATTTTTGGACACATTTGGACACCTTTCCGGGCTCGCAAAAATTGGCAGGTGGTGCCAAATTGTTGCCAAAATCAGGATCAACAGCCTGGCTGTTTTTCAGCTCCAAAATTGTGATCTTTAGCACCAAAAAGTACCATAACCTCCAATGATCAAAGCTATAAAAATTGCTTTGTAAAACTTACACTTATTTTTTGCCTTTAAACTTCTATGTGCAATTTTTGTTGCAAATTTCTTGATCACAAACTATTCCATAGATCATAAATCGCGAATTACATTTTCTGACGCTTGCCTATGCTAATTACTCTTGTTTTTAGCAGCCTTTTTGTTAATGATCTCGCGTGCAAACCCGATTCCACCTTCCACATGTGTCCGCCATGGAAAGGCCAATTTTCGACCCGCTGCGGCTTCCTTTCATAAGCAAAAAATAGCGGGGGGGGGGGCGAGGAAGAGGAGCAGGATCAGAAACTGACTCAATTTTCGCTCGAGGGCACTTTTCACCCGTAGGCGAACACTTTAGTTGGCGAATGTTCAGAAATCTGAGCATTGCAACTAGGTTCAAAATTTTCTCTGCACAAATCCACTCCGTAAGATACGATTTCTTAGGCCTCAGCGCTAAAAGGGCCAGGTAAAATTATATGCCTGTTAGTTCCGTATTGCTCCTGTTTCATTGATTTTTCCAGTCAAATTCCGCTTTCTAATCCCGATGTTTTTCAAACGAAAATCAGATTTCGGTTTCCGTTCTCCGTATAGTGTGTTCTTAACTAAAGAAGAGAGAGAGATAGAAGGAGAGAGAGATAGAGCGAGCTAGAGAGGGAGAGAGGGAGGGAGAGGGAGAAAGAGCGAGAAAGAAAGAGAAAGCAAGACAAATTGATTTTCGCATTTATTCTGACCAAAAATTCGATTTTGCACGTCCTGAAATCCTTCGCCAAACACTTTCCCACTCACGGTCCCAATTGAATAATCATAATCCCATTGAATGCTCGATTTCGGCCGGACCACCTAGCCAAATTGTGAAAAAATGCCCACTGGATTTAGGGTGAGAGATTGACGAGAGAGAGAGCGAGAGCGAGACAGTGCGAGATGGAGAGAGAGAAAGAGGGACAGAACTAGCGCTAGCGAGAGAGCACGAATACGCTAGACCGTAGATCAAAATCTTTAAAATTTCGAGCCTGCGAAAAACTAAATGAACTCGGTCTAGGGGTCTGGGATGTCCGCGGGCTATTTCCTCACTTTTTGCAGTCATAACCCTCGAAATTATGGCGTTCATCCCACGAGGGTCTCTTGTTTCCGGCCCGCTTCAAGATTAGACACGTCAAAAATTTCATTTGCGGCTACCGTAATCTTGGATTGGATTTTACTGTACTGTTTGTTTTCTATTCAGTTTTAAAGAAAGTATTCCGGATTGAGATATTTCCATTAAAGGGGCAGGTAAAGCATAACTAATTTTCTTAGGAAAACAACAAAAACCGCGACACGCCACGCGCAGTAGGTCTGTTTTACAACAATGCGCTGGCGAAAATCCCAAGGGATCCATGGTGATGCAAATCCATAGTATCGTCTATAGTTATGCTTTGTCAGCTCCTTTACAAATGCCGTGCCCGTTAGCGTGATGCCATATTTTGTGAACCCGAAATTAAAGGGATGCCGACGGCATAGACAATCGGTTACGCGCGGAAAAGAAAATGTCTCTGCGCCTCTCCCGTGGGCGCGCTCTCTCCCCTGTTGGCTACTTGCCAATTTGTTGATGAGGGGGGATCGACACATGCCGTCGGCAGCCCTTTAAGCAACCCTCAGCAGACACCATCCCTCTCCCTAATGGTCTTTGCTCGATGACCTCACTCCCGAAGACAAGAGATCGAAAAACTTCCGGCAGCACCGCAAAAAATGACCTCATTTTTGGGGCGTCCCAAGGCCGGTTTGACGTCTTCCCGCTTTCCCAGATTCATCTCCGTATTTTGTGGGTCTTTTACCCCAGTAAACGGGGGAGAAAAGGCAGATAGAGATGCGGATGAGGGGCCGTGATTTGGCCAATTATCTAGTGGATGGCACACACACCTACCTTCATCGTCATTTGGGAGGGCCCTAAGGGGGGGGGGGGGGATGGGAAGAACTCTCAAATTGGGCCCTTGGCCCACCCCCATCCGGGCAGACCTTCATTTCTTCGGCATTCCCGGGGATACTGGCTCAAAAGTAGGGCTCACCCAGGCGGAGGGGCTGTTGCTTTATGAGATGTACTCATCGGTCTCGCATTCTGGGCTTTATTAAAATATTTTCTTGGGCGTTTGCTTTGGTTCCTGTGTACTTTATATAGTTTCTTCCGGGTGATGAACAAACTTGGAAAAGTGGTCTGAGTAGCCCAAATCCGGTAAAAATTTTTTGCTTCGCTTGCTTTTTTACAAAAAAATAGAGGAGTGAGAGCCAGCGAGAGAGAGAGAGAGAGCGAGCGAGCGAGAGAGAGCGAGAGAGACGGAGACAAAGACCGAGACAGAGACAGGAGGATAGGGAGAGAGAGATATATATGGAGAGAGTGCAACATAGAAAATAAACTTTTTGGTTTTTCGTTTGTTAACCCTTTGTTTAAATTTCGCCCCGATCTTCCGAAGACCCAAAAATTCCATTTGTCAAATGCGGCAAATTTTCGCTTTTGAATGTCATGTTCTTTAAATAATTTTTTACTTTTTGAAGAGGATTACGAAAAATTACTTTTTAACAATTTTTATCAATGATTCTTGGTAAGTCGCTGTACCATAATAATTTTTAACTGCTTAAACAAGTATTTACCCGGGCCTAGCCTAGCTCCTAAAAAGTGCAACCCACTCCCAAGCTATTTGTTTATCCAATTTCAGCCTCCTGGATTCGCTTAGAATATTATATATCATTTAGATTTCATGGAAAATAGGCTAATTTATCTTTTTCATCAAATTTGGCAGCAAATTTGCTATTCTACAGTATTCAGATAATTTGCGAAACCATGCCATCGTGTTGCCAATTTCCGCAAATTCTTCTCCGAAAGTACACCCTTAATTTTCCGGATGAATAAACCGTTTACTAGACCGGAAAAATTCGCTCAAAGCACTTGATCAAAATTAGAGTTGTTATCGACCCTGGTCGAAGAGGCACCCGCAGCAAAAACTTTTGTAAATTCATAGCTTTTTTCTAAAGTAAAATTCCGCTATTTCGTCCTCAGTTTTGATTCTGTGAGATTATTTCCTACATCTTGAGTTGTTAAACTATAAGTTTTTGTGCTAGAATCACAGAGAACGGAAATTTTTTCAGGTTCTGCGTGAGGCGGTCCACTTCCCCCATCCTATTTGTCCGTTCTCTGTGATTCTAGCACAAAAACTTATAGTTTAGCAACTCAAAATGTAGGAAATGATCTCACAGAATCAAAACTTAAAAGAAAAGAGCGGAATTCTACTTTAGAAAAAAGTTATGAATTTACAAAAGTTTTCGCTGCGGGCACCTTTTCGACCCGACCCGTGCTTCGACACGGGTCGATAACAACTTTAATAAAAATGTAATAAACTGACAATTCGATAAGATCATCCTCATACCGGATAATCTGGCCCATCGTGGCGGGACCCAAATTTTGGCCGCCTCCGGGGATCTGGATGAATAAATGATTGGTGTGCGTTCCCGGGCCCGCAGCTGTTTTTGTTCTGGTACTTCCAAAAAAGCGAAAGTCTCCATTTCAAAGTAGGATATTCGGGCACGGAGGCGACGTGTATGTTTTTATGGTGCCTCCACCTCCAATTTCCGCAATTTTTAGTGTTTGTCGGAGGGTGTTGTGTTTGGTTTTTTTGAAAGTCACTTTTAACTGATAGGGAAATGTGTATCAGAAAGATCTGTTGTTTTGCTTATTGATGAGGACAAGCTAGCAGCGAATTTTGGAAAACATCTAATGTTCTAGGGCAATCTTGCAGAGATCATTAAGTTGGTGAAAATTCAAAAGCGGGCTAGCAGAAAACCTTGAGGAAAGCAAACGAATCGCTCGAATCTTGGATTTTGGGGAAAACACAACTCGGCTGATAAAACTGCTGAGGCAAGCTAGCAGAAACCTTTTGGGGACCGTTATTTAAGTATGGGAACTTTCTTGGAGAGGGCCAGCAAGCACGAATCCTTAGGGAACACAGCTAGCCGTAATTTGTTGTCTAGTAAAGCCAATTAAAGATTTCGAATTTCACTCGCGCCACTGAAATCAATGTTTTTCGGAACTTTCTGGATCTACGTACGATACTTTTCAGCTTTACACTTTTTCCGAGGTTTTCATGCAAAGCCAAACTGCGTCTGACCTCTTTGAAACACTTTAAAAACGTGCGCGTTTCCCTAGGTTTTCCTTCGAATTCCCTCAAAAATAAAGCACCAAAGCGCGTCACCTGGGTTTTCACAAAAAAATAACAATTAACGGCCTCAAAAATTGACGGGAGGGGCTCGCGGGGATTGTTGAGATCTGGCCCTGGATACTTTGGATTTGGGGCTTTGGTAACTTTCTGTTTCTCTCGCCCGCTGGCCGTCACTCTCTCTCTCACATTCTCTCTCTTTCTCTCTCTCTCTCCTCTCTCTCTCTCTCTCTCTCTCTCTCTCTCTCTCTCTCTCTCTCTCTCCTTCTCATTCTCTCGATCCCTCTCTCTCCATTTCTCTCTCCCTCTCTCTCTCTCTCACTCTCTCTCTCTCTCTCTCTCTCTCTCTCTCTCTCTCTCTCTCTCTCTCTCTCTGTATCTCTCCCTCTTTGACTCCAATGTTTCCAAAAAAAAACGCAAAAATTGCCCGGGGGAAATTGGATATCCGCCCCTTTAATTCATCCAATTTGGTTTTCTCGCTTCCCAGCGTCTGGATTTCCAGTATTTTCCCTCACTTCCCACAGCTTCATAATGCTGCTCCTGGTTAAGATTTTGACCCTGCGATTCGGGATGCAAAACGAGACGGCGGTGGATGGTGCGATGGATTGGGTCTGGAATACTACATTGGCGCCCAGCACTGTTTATCGACGGCCTGTAAGCTGTATTATTAATATTTTAATGATGGCTAAACTGTACCGCGTTTTTTAATGTGGTTTATTTTACTAACAACTATAAATGTATTTTTTAGGAGATGTTCTACAACATTGTCAATATTTCAAAGGTGGTCCCGCTGGTAAGTCTATCAATTTGTTCTCTTGAGCCGATTTTGCGACTTAATTAGGTCTTGCGTCTCAAAATTCGATTTTTTTTTACTCAATACATATTAATTAAAAAGACTGCCAATTTTTTTTAAAAGTTTAGAAGGCTTGAAGGTAATTTTTCTGGTGCAGATTCTACATTTTCTGAGGTTTTTTTAGTTGTTTCCATAACCGTCCTTTTTGATTTCACCAGAAAATAGGAACTATATAAGGCTAGAATTCCGATAACTATTCTTAATTTATTAAAGCTAAAGACTACAACCTAGAATAACCCAAATTTTTATTTAGGATTGGGCAATTCCCCTCTACGGAAAAGTTATGCCACTGCTCGTCGTCGTTACCACGGTCACGAACTGCTTCATCGTGTTGGTCCTCTCCCAAAAACACCTAAGAACACCGACGAATGCGGTGTTGCTCGCGATGGCTGTTACGGATTTGCTGACCGGTAGGCTTGACAAAAACCCTACCTTTTTCCCTAATAAACCCAAGACGGCAACCGAATTTTTTAGGTTGGACCTCGATCCCGTGGTTCGTGCACTACTACTCTTTAGGCGGCTATAAAATTGATGAATGCAAGTTTAGAAACATGAAAATTATACAAAAACGTTTAGTGTACGGCATGGACCAATTCTGGTGTTACGGTCATAAATATTTGTCGGATATAATACCATCTAGTAAGTTTGTGAGAGTTTCGTATCTCTCTTTCTTTCTCTCTCTTTCTCTCTCTCTCTCTCTCTCTCTCTCTCTCTCTCTCTCTCCTCTCTCTCTCTCTCTCTCCCTCTCTCGCTCGCTCTCTCTCCCCCTCTCTCGCTCTCTCTCTCTCTCTATTCCCCTTTTCTAGTTTTACCATACCTTTTTAGTACTCCACACGACAGCCACCTGGCTGACCGTATTCCTAGCCGTCCAGCGCTACGTCTACGTTTGCGTACCGAATTCCGTCCACCTCTACTGCACGCCGAAAACGACTCGAGTGGCTATTTGCTCGATTTTGATGGTAATTTAAATTTAATTGCTTAAAATCTTCCTTCTCCAGCTCTCCTCCGTAACAGTCATGCCCGATCTGATGGCGAAGCAATTCTCACATTTCATCTACTTTGATCAGCATCTCGGGCGACAGAAGCGGGCCTGTCGATTCGAATATCCAAAGTAGGGCTGAGGGGCTTAAATGAATAAAATTACCGGTATTCAGATGGGTAGAAGTGATCGGAATGGTAACGTACTACACGGCTTACCTATGGATTCGAGCTATTATGCACTTTATACCTTGCACGCTGCTTTTGGTAAGTTGCGAATTTGTACGTCGAACTGATGATGCCGTACGTACCACGTAACTGTCGATACCTAGTGAAACCAAGGGGTCGATTTTAGGCCTGTTAGTCCCTTTAAAAGTGTTGTTTTTGAGTTTTTCTAACCGCTTCCGATGCCAAAGTAGTTATAATATGGTATCCTGAATTATTTTTCGGAATTATTTTCATAATCCCGAGCTAGTTTCGGGCCGCCGCTTCCACTTGAAAACCGCTATTTTAAGCCTAACCAATTTCTACGCCAATTTCCAAGCTATTCTTTTGGTTGAGCAAAAACGTGCTGCAATTTGGAACACGTCCAGAAATCCGTTTTTAAAGAGGCTCTGAACACCCTTATTAATTTGACCTTAATAACCCTGCCCTAATCAAGAGTCGGACCTAATCAATTTGGCCACCCTGCGTCGTGGCTGGACCCTGGACACGAGACACGTTTTTCATGGCATAATTTGAGCCCCGGGGGTAGAGGAGCAGTAGGCGGGTTGCGTGGAATTATTTGCTCGCGGGAAACTGAGACCTACCGGGGAGTTCGCGGGGAGGAAAGCTTTTGCACCCCGATTCCGGAGATCGGGGAACGGCGAATGAGAGAGAGAGAGAGAGAGAGAGAGAGAGAGAGATAGCGACAGAGCGAGAGAGAGAGTGAAATAAAAACATCACTTTTCAGATCTTCACCTACAAACTCGGTCGTACCATCAAGCGAGCAGAGATCAGGAAGCGCTCGTTTATTCTGAATCAAGATGGCTCCGAGAGGAAGCATTCCACAGTCTCGAATAAGTCAGTTTTTGCCTAGATTTGCATGACGGACTTCGAAAATAGAATAGAAGCCCCTAGTTTTTCTGCTACTGCTTTATTTTAGTTTTAACAGTGGTACAGTGGAGCACTAAGGGATCGTGACAGGAAGAGAAAATTAAATTGTGATTTCACGATCCCTTTAAAGGAACCAGAAAGTGGAAAACCGGCCCCATCCGGCGAGTAGGTCTCGACAGCACGCTCACGCCACGGGAAATTGCGGATTCCGAGCTATAATTTTCTTAAGGTCATGTACTAAAATCAACTTTCCGTACCTTGGAAAGGCGCGCCGTTGTCGAGACCGAGTATGTGGCATCGGTCGATTTGAGGCTTCCTAGCACATTTAAAATGTTCTACCAAACGCCAACATACCAGGATATAGACAAGTTTTTATTGTGTATCGCATGCCCAGCTTTTGGTTGCTAGCTAGAGATTCTTATGCTCTCTGCAGTCCGGTGAGTTGCAGCGGTCGCAGTCTGTACGCGACGAATCGGATGCTGTCGGTCATTTGCTCCGTGTTTCTCATACTCGAGGTAAACTGAAAAAAACTAAATTAAAACTTAAAAAAATAACAATCAGATCCCGGCCTCGGTTGCATTCATCCTGCAATTTCTGATCGGATCCGGTTGGCTGGTATCTTCGCAGAAAGACGAATTGGCGGGATTGCTGAATCGGTTGATGATTATACGGTAAGTTACGAGGATTTAAAGGGATTGGCTCCGCAAATCTACCAAATTTGCTTCTAATAATTTGCTAAATTAAAGCCGAAACGCTCATTCTATAACAGTTTGATGGAGGACAAAACTAAAACCTGGGCGAAGCCCACGTTGGGGCTAAGGCCTAAGCCTACGCCTCACCCAAGCCTACGCTAAAAATACGCTAAGCCTTAGGTATTCCAAAGCCTAGGCCAAGTTCTTGGGCTAATCCGAACCTGATTTTCTAGGCATTTTTGTAGTTTGAGTTTCAACTAATTTTCAAGATTTTCTCAAAACTTTTCTGATTGGAAATAGGTGCTTGCTGTCAAAAATGCTAAAAGTAATCAAACACCTATTTTAGCAACCTCCTGATCGTGCTAACTTCCCCGATCCAGTTCATCATCTACTGCTCCATGTCCGAGCAGTTTCGGATCACAGTCCGCCAGCTGTTCACTAAACGGCTGCTCTTCGTTGCACAGGTTTTCAAAAACGTCATAAAGTTGAGTTTTTTTTCTCAGGCCCAAGCAACATTCCATGGCGGAAAGAGGTATTCTCTCATTCTGGTCGACGTCGACTCAATCGAACGGCGGAATGGGGGTAGCAAGCGCAATTCGAGGGCTATTGTCAGCTGGTAAGCTATAGACTTTTGCTGCCAAAATTTGAAAATCGCGTGTCAAACTTATAAATACAGACTTTTGATAATGCCGAAATTTTATAATGTCGAAATTCATGATATCGAAATTTCATAAAATCGGAATCTAATAATGCCGTAATTTCCATATGCGAATGCTTTCCAGGACCAAAACTCTCAGAAAATCCTTCAAATTTATGCCAAATATTTTGTCATTATTAAACTTCGACAAAAAAGCGGCATTTTGCGGCTTCGCCAATATTATATTTTGGCAATGAAATGTCGACATTATGGAGTTGGTCGGTCAAAAAGCAGTCAAAAATTTAAGCACATGGATTTCTTTCTATAATACGTGAAAAATTGTGTTGCACTTGTTGTACTTGTCGAATAGTTGCTCCACTTGATCACCTCTCATTAATGCTCCCTTTAGCGCGCTCAGATCCCTTGGCAAAGCCGGCAGACGCATTTTGACCGGCGGGGAAACGTCGAATTTCACCTCTCAACCGGCCCCAAAGTCTGTTATACCTGAAGGCACAACTGGTTACCTTACGTGTTTTCGCTTTCCCCGTGGAATATATATCGTATGCATGTCCGCCATTAGCCCTAACGTTTTGCCTAGGCCTTAAAGTTATGATTTACCGGGTCCTTTAAGCCTTCCCTTTACAGCGAACCACGCGAACCAGCCGTAAAAGTGGAGTACCCTGAATCGGGGACACAAGAACGCCGGAAAATCGGGAAGGTGGGACGACAGGTGTCGTTCAAGGATCGACCGCTGGATCGGAATCGGGATATAGGTAGTTTTAAGGAGTTTCTCTCTGTCACTCGCTTTGCTCTTTCTCTCTCTCTCCCTCTCTCCCTCTTTCTCTCTATCTCTCTCTCCCTCAATCATCGAACGTCCAATTGCAGATTGCCCTTCCGCGTCGATCGTCACCAAAGAAACGTCTCCAGGAAATGGGCGCCGCCTTTCTACCGTAATCCAAGAACCAGCAAGTCCAGATGCTGCGATTACCGTATGACTCCTAAAAACCAACATGTCAAATCATCCATTTTAGCCACTAGTTCTCGATACCGAAAGTGATTCTCTCTGGAGCCAGCCGACCACCTCGACCCTGGTTTCGGAGCGCCCGAATGGAGATGTAAGACATTTCTTTCGACTTTAAAGGGTTTGTGAAGGCAAAATTCTGGCGGATTTGAATATAAAAATGTCGAATTCAGCCAGATAAGCTATAATTTAGATCCCAGAGATTCGAATTGAGCTGAAGGAGTGCTCGACTTCGAATGAAGCGCTCGCAGAGGAGGACGTCGAGCAATAAAAATTTTCATTTCTCTATTTTGAACACAATTTTTGCATATTATAAAACTTATGAATAAAGAAAATAAAAGCGCGGTTTTTAATGTACTTACATGTTCTTTAATATTATTTTAAATCTCCTATAGCAACTTAAAATCCCCCCGAACGACGGGTTTGACCGGAACTTCCATTTTTTTTTCTTTGTAGCCAAATGTTCTGCGAATTATGACCAGGGCCGTAACAAACCCAGATTTCGGGGGGGGGCGACCCCAAAAATTTTTCACTAATATGACTAAAACTACAGCGCCGCAGGCAAAATTTTTGAAAACATAGGGTTTATAACACTAAAACTAGTGTTAAAAATAGACAAAAACAGCGCCGCAGGCAAAAATTTTTTTGGAAAAATTAAATCATAAGGGTCCCCCCTTATGAACTTTTCGGCCTTCGGCCGATTTCGGGGGGGCGGCTCGCCCCCTCGCCCCCCTCTTACGGGCCTGATTATGACTAATACAAATCAAAAATGACAAATAGATATACACAAGACGTTCCCCAATGTTCCTATCACACCCTTGTTTTGTTCCGCTCGATTCACGTGGAATTTTCGAGCGTCTACCTATTTTTGCGGTGTTTTTCCCGGCGGCCAGCCGGCGGCTTTTCCCCTTTTTGTGTTTTTCTCATTTTCTTATCACATTGATCTTCTTTGCCGAGGTCCCAATAAAAAACGCGAGAAATTGGTAACAGTATCCCTTAAGACATTCGGCGCTGTAGGGCCCCCAAAAACACAATTAGGCCCCGAATTTCTGGGGTTTCCGCTTTTTGTCCGCGTTTTCCAATGCCATGTGTTGCAACCAGTTTTCAGATTTGGATGTCCCAGTTGTCGATTTTGAATTTAGTGACACCCATTTGTAGCTGGGATACGGCGAGAAATGTTGGAGCAAAAAGGGATTTGGGGATTTTGTTAGTTTGCGTACAAAAAAAAACAAAAAGGTTTGCCGAAAATTAGAATATCTAAATATATCCGTCGAAATCTCATGGTGTCTAAAATCAATTTGTTTCACCAATCCGCTGATAGCATATTGGTATAGACTTTCAAGCATTTCCTTAAATTGAAAAAATAGATTGAATTTGGGTAGATGAATCGCAAGCAAACGCTGAAAAAGCAGGGCTCTTCAATTCGGAAAAATTAGAGCATCAAAGTTTTAATTTTAAGAATTCAAAGTAGCTTTTAATCACCTTGATTTGATTGATCATCAGTTATGTAATAGTCATATTTGGCATCAATACATATATTCTTAGCCATAGATGTTAACTACAAAAATGTCGAATGTTTTAGAAAATACGAATCACACTAAAATTGTAAAACGTTAAGCTTATGAAAAAGTAATAGTAAAAAACTAGTAAAAACTGAAACGCTAAGGTTACGAATGTTTTATTAACTCATCATTTTTTGCAGAAAAAAATCGGCAAAATTTAAAAACGGGGAAACAAAACTAAACAGGATCAAAAAATTTGTTAAAAAAGGATGCAATGACATAAATTCAAAACTCGTAGTCGAAGCAAATTTTCGCAACCATTAAAAATTCTCATTTTACAATTTGTAAATTTATGAACCTTTGCCTAGCAAAAGCGGCCCTAGCCGGGGGAAGTCACGAGCAGCCCCGGGTCCATTTGCATATTCTGCTCCCTTTTTTAGACGTCTCAGCTATGAACCCCCTCTTCAGCGACCAGCCAAACCAAAAGCGGGATATGCAATGAGATGAGGTCTACCCCCCGGCTATCCGCACCGTCATTGCATTTTTAACCGCCGCTAATGTTTTCCGACGAAAATATGTGTCGTGGATAGCGGGATCAAAATATGCATCGTTCCGTTCCATTTCCTTCCTATTTACGATTGGTGCGCAAAATATGGTTTGTCATTTGGAACGCTTCGTAGCTTGGGAAATTCCCATCAGTTTGTTGTTTCGACGGGGAATTACGTCCTGTTCGCTGTAGCCTGCCGGAAATTTTGGTTCAAAATTTTCGAAACAAACACTGCATTAAGAAGTTTTTCAATGTTTTTGTATATACTTGCATAAAATATCGTTTTCGCAGGGTGCTTTGCTAGCTTGCCGGCTTAATTTTGCATAAAAAAACTGTTCTGTTTTACTAATCGAGTCTCGGATTGCTTTTTTAATTTTCGAAACCTCGAAAGTGCGGTATTACCTCTGTTGATTACGGTATTGCATTAAGCTAAATGCCACGTCACACTTACGCTACGTTACGGTCAGCTATGCCACGCTAAGGTTTAACAACGAAAAGAATTCCTTTACAATGCGCTAAATCCATATTGCGTCAGCTGCTTATGTAGTTTTCCATCGAAAATGAGAACTACGATACCTTAACCGTATCCCGATCTGGCTCTCAACTCCAAAATCTATGCTAGCTTGCCTTAAAAACATTGCATTTCATAAAGTTTTGGTAATTTCGTATTTTCGTAAATTCCTAAAATTCGGTTTTTAATTATCTAAACCATGCCCCAGTTGGTTGGACGGTAACCGAAGACCCCTACAAAAATCGTCATTTCGATTGTCTTTTGCCAAACTGACGTGTATGATATGTCGTTTATATCTCCGTAAGCGAATACCCCGAATCCCTTTCCGGTCGTCGCCAAGTTTCTTTTCCAGGGACGCACTCGAGAAAGTGTCGGGTGCTTCTCGTTTCCTTTAAAAAGGCCCCCGGGTCCCGAGGGACATTCCCGCCAGGACCCGCTCCTTCCTTACTTACCCCCCTTCCTCACTGTCCAATCTATATCCTGCCCCCTTTCCATAAAGAAGTGTTTTTTGCCCCGCTCCAGCTCGTCCTCTGACCCGACTGACCTCGCCGCAGATGTTTATGCCAGATTTTGCAACTTTTGCTTTTTGAGGGCAGCGCCAGGCTCGTACACTGAGTGACGTGGGTTTTCCGGGGCCAAATAAGGGCTAAAGTCTTTTTATCTTGTCAATTTACGCTCAACTACGTTACGCTACTTAGCTACGCTGTAGGAACCACGGAGCGGTTTAACGAGTTTTTCAATGTGACCTAAACTCGATGAGGCCCGGTCGGTGGGATGGTTGATTTTTCATTTCCTTGTGCTTTTAATTTGGTCTGGACCTAGTTAGCTTACTTCTCCACTTGCTTGTCCCTTTAATTTTGTCTAGACCTAGTCAACGTAAGGGGTCGATTTTGGTCCTTCCAGTCTTTTTAACCATATTTTTTTTATCCAGTCCCTTTAAAGCTTAAACTAGACTCAATTCAACATCTAGATGCTGCCATTCAACCCCGAAATCAAGAAGTCATGCTCCCCAGTGTTTTCTGACGTACCAGAGCCGTCCTCCGGCATTCCCACGCTTCCTTCCGCCCTATTGCACCCCCCGTAAAAGCAAACACACGCCGGAATCTGTGCTCACTACTCCCCCCCGGTGTGTGTCCTCTGGATGTAATGAAACTTTCACCCTCCTTGCAAAATGCGGGCCACCTGAAGGGTCCATTTCAGGGCCCAATCACTAAGCCCTGCCTGGAGTTTTTGTTGGTCGTCGTTTACAACCCCTTGGGGTCTGGTTTTAACATGGCGCGCCCGCGACTCGTAAAACTCGTAAAACGGGCCAAGATTGGAGTTTTTCCGGATTTTCCGGGGCCATCCCCATCTTCCGGGCCCATCTTTTTGACCCTGAGCCTCATCACTTTTGACTTCCAAGGCTTCCGGCGCGCTTTCGGCGCCGTTACTGCTATTCTCATCGGCTTTGGTCAGAACGTAGCGCCAAGATTCACGGGGAGTCTAAAATTCTAGCTTTTAGAAATCATGAAAAACTGGCAATTATCCTATCCTATAAGCGAGAAAAGTATGTGTGTTTTCTGTGCAGGCGATTTCTCGGCCCTCAGGCCGAATTTCCGGCTGATTTTTGGCATGGAGGTGGAGAAATACATTTGCCAGACACGCATTTTTTTGTTTTTCGAAATTCCTTGATTTAACGATTTTACAAACAAAATGGTGAAAATCCTTAACAAAATGGGCGACGAGCCGTGGTGTTCGGGGCATAACTCAATGCCCAGATGGAATTTCGGTCTGTAATTTGGACCACTTATGTATACGATAGTGGGGATCACGCGCATCTTATTATCTTTACAAATTTTTGGCGCATTCAGTCTAAAATAGCGATTTTTGTAAAGTTACCAGAAGTCCTCCCTGCCGGGTTGATCCGGCCCCCAGGACAGAAGGGGCCTTTCCCGCTACCCGTCCCCATGCCGCCTTTGGTATAGTGGCTTGGCGCCCGCTCTACAGTGCGCATAGTCGAGGGTTCGGATCCTCGGTGAACGTAGCTTTTTGCTTTTTGATAGTTCAACAACAAAACATTTTTCGAGGCTCTCGGTATCCGAAATTTAGACGAGTCCCTCGCTCTAGCGCCGCAGGCCAAAGAAAAGGTCCTTGGCCCGGGCTCTAGCGCCGCAGGCCAAATGCTGGAGAAAAACCAGTAGCTAGCGCCGCAGGCCAGAGAATGGTTCCTAGAGTCAGGCTCTTGCGTCGCAGGCTTTGGAAAACGGAAGGGGAATATATGGTTCCTAGACGAGGCCAGTGGAAAGGGCCGCGAAGCGGTCTTTTTCCACTGGTAAATTATATTGCAATATATTATATTGTATTGCTGGATGAAAGTGACTGGACTACTGTATTTGGACTTCCAAATAGGCTAATTAAATTTTATGAAATTCCCGTTTTTTTTGAACATCTACTGTATGCGAGGAGAGAGAGAGAGAGAGAGAGAGAGAGAGAGAGAGAGAGAGAGAGAGAGAAATAGCGTGAGAGATCGAGCTAGAAAGAGAGAGGAGAGAGAGAGAGAGAGAGAGAGAGAGAGAGAGAGAGAGAGCGAGAGGGTGAGAGAGAGAAATCGACGAGATCTAAGAGAAAGCGTGAGAGTGAGAGAGAGAAGCAAAAAATCTACCGTATATCACCTATGCTCGATTTTTGCCGACAAACCGCCAAAGGATCACATTTTTGTCATCACCCGG